TCAGAGTCCAAAACGGGTCTGATTGGGCTAAAATCAAGGTGTCAGCAAAGCTGTGTTTCTTTCTAGAGGATCTGGGGAGAATCTCATTCCTTCCCCTTTCCATCTCCTAGAGAACACCCACTTTCCTGGGCTCATGGTCCACATCCAACATCTTCATAATATTGAAGGTCCTTATCTCTTGACCACACCTGTAGGGAGATGGCACTCCTGCATAGGGGCTTCTCTTTGGTGAGCACCCAGAGCATGTTCTAGCTGTGGCACAGTGACTAGGAGGCCATCAAATGTTCAAGTCACTTCCTGTGGGGGAAAGAGGGAGTAGGTCTCACTTGAGAGGAGAAATCTTCCATTATCATCAGCATCATAGCAGTATAACACCTGGCCATAAGGGCAGAAATCTCATGTGAAGCCACTGAGAGGATACAAAGGAAGAAAGGAAGGGTGATAGGAAGGCCCTTGGTAGACAGTCAGGTACTGGGCAGGTGGAAGAGAAACGGCACTAATGATGATGATGATTCCAAAGCCCCTTGATTCATTTCATGAATATTGTCCAAACACCTCCCTTGTGCAGAGCCCCATGACAGGTGCCATGGGTGTTACAAACTTGAGGAAGGTCTTGACTTTCACCCTAAAGGGGCTGTGCTTTTCTAGAGAAGTTAAACCATGGCCACACATAATTCAGGATAACCTGGGTAAGGGGAAGCAGACACAGAATAGAAGGCTGCTCAGAGGTGGCAAGTTTTGAGCCAGACTGTACAGGAAATATTTGGATTGGTCTTCCAGGGGTGTTCCCTACCATCCCCAACATTAAATAGAACCCACTTCAGGTTGTGTGGTTCGAGGCCACACCCCTCTCCCATTCTCATCTGGATGATGGATTTATTAATGGAAAAGATTTGGCCACTTATGTTGACTGACAGAAGAGTAGGGTTAGAAAAGAGAGAAACTTTCCCTAAGAAAATCTGAAATCTTGTCTTGTGCCAACTACCCAGCTTGGAAATAATCATATGGGTGATCTTGAGGAGATCAAATGGGTGAGATGGATGGACATGGAAGAAAGGCACCAACTACATACCAGAAATTGGGAGTGTGGCCTCCTGGATGGGTTTTCATCCCCAGACTGTCTCAGGCAGATGACTGAGGCTATGGAATCCATCTCATGTATCTAGGTTACATACCTGTCATAAAGAGAACACACATGTGGGAGCTGAGAGGCAATTTTCCCTGTTTCACTTCAGGGAGTTTCATGAAGCTTCCTGAAGGTACACCTACTCAGTTTTCTCTTTCTCCTTTGTTAGCTAGTGCCAAACTTTTCCCTTTCCAGGGTCTTGGAACCACCTTCAACCATATGGGGAAATAGTTTGATCCCACAGTGAAGGAACCATCTGTTTTGGGATCTTCAATACTTCTTCACAATACCTTGTTATGTGACAATCCCAGTGTCCAGTTCTACCTACTAACACAAACAAGAGAATCCAGGTGTGTCCTTCATTGCCAGAGACTTTAATATTGACAGTAATCAATCAATTCAGTGTTTAGTCCCACTAATCAGTGCAGGATGAAACTGGAGAGGAAATGATTGAGTATAAACTAGACTTTTGGCAAACATTTCAGAACACTGACATTCTATGCAGCCAGCAGGACTTAGTTTCCAGAGATCCTAGACAATCCCCTCTCCCAAGGGGCACAGGAATAACAAGGTATAAAGCACAAGGATGTAGACCATGAACAGTTCTGTTATATTTAGATTTCTTCAAGCAAGCAACAAACAAATCGAAGTTCTAAAGGGGCATTCCATTGATGCATGGAATACACAAATAAATTTGATAAGTGAATAAATGTATGGTTAAGTGAATAGTTAATCAGTTTAGATAGCAGCTGAAGAGGATGGGAAGGCACTCACCAAGGGAATGGGGAAGAAATGAAAGCACAAAGAGGAGTATGTGCTTGTATGGAATGCAGAAAGTCCATATAGTAAAGATTATTTGTAGTAATGATTAATTATCAATGGTAGTAATTATGGCCCCCAGCTGCTTTCCAGGTCCATTTGCCACTCTCCCCTACAGAAATAATTTCATTCCTCTGACAGGTAGGTGCACATGCATGGGCACACATATCCAAGTACTGTATTTATCAGAGCTCTCCAGCAAAACAGAAGAGTATATATAAGATAAGGTTTGTATATTATATATAATATGTATTCTATAATAAGATATGTATAAATATGATAATGGCTTGTGAAGTTATGGAGGTGGACAAGTCCCATGATCTTCTTTCTGCAAGCTGAAGACCCAGGAAGGAAGGTCAGTGGTGTAGTTTAAAGGCCTGAGAACAAAAGAACCAATGGTGTAGATCCAGTCTGAGTCTAAAGGCCTGAGAACAAGTAGTGCAGAGAGCAAAATTTCAATGTCCCAGTTAAAGTAGTCACGCAGAGAGAATAAATTCTCCATTATCTACCTTCTTGTTGTATTCAGGCCCTTGATGGATAGGATGATGCCTACCCACATTGAGGAGAGCAATCCACTTTACCTACTCTATTGATTTATGGAAACATCCTCACAAACACACCAAGAAATAATTTTTAACCAGCCATCTGAATATCCCATGACCCAGTCAAGTTGACACAAAAGATTGTCACACACACACAAACACACATATGCATGCACACACACATCCCTACCTGTGTTACTCTATATCCTGTTCTCCTAATGATGTCCTTTCACTACCAGTTAAACTCTTAGTTTCAGAGCACTGCTGAAATACTTCATCTTGAACACACTTCCAGGCACCAATTCACTTCCCTTCTCCCTCTTCCTAGCTCATAATTCTCTCTCTTGTGCTCCCATAGCACTTTTCACTCATCCCCATTTTTTTCACTTGACACCTGTGCTATCATTATCCAATATCTGTCTTCCCTATAGATAATACAATAGAGCAAGCCAAGAGTTCTTAGACATCTGTGAGTCCCTAGCCACATGCACAACTCTCAGAACAGGGTAGATGCCCAATAAATGTTGGTGAATGAGTGAATGACTAAGGTCTGAAATGTTCAACATGAAGTTTTATGAGTTGACAGATGTTGTATTTATTGCTAGTTTGCTATTTATTTGAGCAGTCATTGATGCTCAAAGTGACTTAAGAATTAGTATTTATGAGTAGCCTGCATGGAACAAATATAGAGGAAATATTTTTGAAAAAATTGAAAAAAAAACTCATGAATTTAGAATAACTTGAAGTAGAATCTGCTAAAATGTGTTACAACTGATGGTGATTAAAAATTATGTGTGGAGCAGAAAAAGGGTTAGTGAATAAACATACAAAAATTTTGAAAATAGAATGTATTTAACTCCTATGGTCTATTCATTGTATTATTTGTCTTCAGTTACATTGCAGAAAACCTTTTAATCCCTCGTGTGCTATTTAGCTAGTAGTGCTGCTGTGGAACTTCATTTACTTTCATGAACTTAACCACTACTGTTCTATGAACTTAATCACAGCAATTCTATGGCTGAACAGTGGTAATGGAAATTTTTGTATGTGATGTTTTTTAGCTCAGGGCTGATATTGAATTATTTTTGATCAAGAAAAATACCTCTCAGTTATTATTATTGAATACTGAATGGCTTTGGAAATTTATATTTGTTGTATGCCTGTTAATGCTTCTTAATAATTCAACCTAAAATCACAAGACAAGCAGTGCTTATATATGAGATTTATACTGGTTAAAGTCATCTCAATGGCAATTAATGTTGGTTGAATCAAAGTAATGTCAGGTTACTTTATGTACTTCTCACACGAATGTGCAGTGGATATTTTATCCAAGTTTAAAGTTTCAGTATTTTTCCCAGACTTCTATACAAGTACAAATAAAATTTCCATATTTCAAACATACTTAACTGTACATTTGAATAACTTCCACCTAACTGTCAATTGGAAGTGATTACTCTGCAGTATAATACATGCTCAATAGCACATGTGAAGAGAAGAATCTAATTGAACTTTGTAAAATGTCTTCCAAGAGATGAATATGTTCAATTAAAATCAGATGCTGGCGAGTTGATACCAGTGTTTGAAAGTACCTATCTCTTCGATTTGTATTAGTGCTTCCCATCATATAGCTGTGTGAAGATATTTTCAAAGATGAACAATGTAAAACCTCATTAGAAAAAAACAGATCAACATTTACAATCATTTTTGATGACAGAGAACATTAATACTGAATCTTAACTAAGCAAATGTCATCCTCCCAAAAGAGTTTCATTCTCATCTTAATGAACCCATATCATATTTAAAATATATGCAATTATCATTATGTTCTTAGTTTCAACAATAAAATATTTGTGGAAATTTGTTTTTTTCTCCTGTTATACAAGTACTTTCATAATAACCTCGATTCTGCCTGTAGGCCCTGCAGAGACTAATGTTAACTGTGTGCCCTTTACAGAATAAGTTTTCCCAGCTCAAGGTGCCTTCAAGTAAGACCATTATACTTTCACCAATAATCATCAAAGCAAAATAGACAGGACTGGCGTGGATCTAAAGGGTTGACTTCATTACTAAGACTTCAAAGAAAAGGTAGGTAATACTGAATAGTCCTAGAACCTCAGAGCCTTGATCATTCATTGGATGTAGGGTATGTCAATCTTCACTTTTCAGCAAATGAGTTTAGAGCTTGTTATGAAGGGATGCAGTCCTTTATTGACCCTTTTGACCCTGCCCTATCTCCTGTCTCTCGGAAGTTTTCATTCCTAGTGGGGGTCTTCGGAGGCACAGCCTTAGTTGACAACTCCTGGAGCCTGAGATTGACCCCCCTGCCCTTCGCATAGTGGGGCCTCCTTAGGCACCACCGTAGATTGTCCCCTCAGTGGGAGGCTCCTCCACGTTCCCCTCCCCTCAGACTCCACTACCAACGGCCTCAAGGGCAGCCAGCTAGGCCTCCACCATCTTCACTGTCCTCATTGCCCCAGTCCGATTGCAGCCCAGTTGAGGTACCCACTGGTGTCATGTCTGCCACAGGGGATCGAGACCCAACCCAAGAGGGCCCAGTGGGAGAGTGGATGGGGGCTGCTGGAGTGGGTGAAGGGATACACCTCGACTTGGGCCCAGATGGGGGCAACATGGCACCTGAGACCATGGAAGCCCAGGTGGCGGGTTCTGGGGGGATGGAGATCCTGGAGCCTGAGGGAGGCCTAGAGGAGGAAGAGGGAGCTCAGGGCCTAGTCCCGGCCAGAGCCCGGGAGGGCGGCGACGCCGAGGAAGACTCGGACATTGGGCCGGCAGAGGAGGAGGGAGGGGACCTGGAAGAGAGCCAGGACATCCTCGTGGACGCCCGTCAGTTCCCCATGGTTGGCTTCCGCTTCATGTTCCTGGATCTGGTCCACTCCCTTCTGCACCGCATCTACTACAACAACCACATCCTGATCCGCCCCTACCGTGGCCCTGTGGTGGTGCGATCCCTCTCGCCAATGGCGGATGGCTCAAGCGAGCTCCCAGTGCTGCACATACCCCAGAGGCTGAGAATGACGGCCCAATCTCGGGAGGTCCAAGGCGAGGGCCTTCGCTTGGGTCTAGGCCTGCCTGAGGTGGCCACCTCAGTCCTAGAGTTCCAGGAACCAACAGACAACGCAGAGGCAGCCCATGTTTCCGTGGAGCAGACAGAGGAAATGGCAGAGGAGGAGCAGGCAGACGAGATGATAGATCAGGTCACAGAAATAAGGGGTGAGGAATGGGTGTAGGGGCAGCTGCATGGGTACTTGCTTGTGGCCAGTGGCAGCAAGTGGGGATGGTGTGCTGGCTGAGGGAAGTGGCGAGATCCCCGGGCCTTGGGTTAGGGAAGTGGTGGGTCCTGACCTCCTCCAAATTAAGGCCGAATGTGCCAGGGTAGAAGCCCAATTCAAAGCAACCTTTGCAGTTTTGAAAAAAAATATGCTGTCCTTTACCAACCTGTATTTAATAAGAGTTGGGACTGTCAGTGCGATTTGCCAGCGGACAGATGAATGTCAGGTGTTTAGGAGGGAGCTCGGGAGGAAATGGAAAGAACCCTGGAGGAAAAGAAATAGCAAAGGGTGCACCTCCTCTTTGGTTCACAGCATTTGAAAGTGAAAAAGGTCTTAGAAAGTTGAGCCTAAAAATGATTTGGGAGCACTTGGTAAAAAAGACAGGTTCTGGGGTTAAGGAAACAATTGGCTTCACTGCAGAATTTGTCTTTGAGACAAACAAGTATTTTCCCAACAAAGTTCTGACCAAAACATTGAAAATGCAAACTGACCCAATCACTCTGACCCTTTCTTCCCTAAAGGAGAAGTAATCAGCAGCATTAGGAGGGAGATTTCCTGGGAAGAGGGGAACATGTCACTGTGGAAAATATTAAGCAGCAAAAATATGAGGGCCATGGAAGGGTGATGTCAACCAGCAGGAAGGTGCCTGGCCATGTTTTCTTAGCTACTTCTTACTTCTCCTGAGGGGAGATGATTGGTGCTGCTGCTGGGTATGAATTGGGCTAGTTTTTCTATGAGTATCTGATTTCACTGTTTGTATTATTCTTCACCAAAGAAATAACTAAATATCAGTATGGTAACTGGAGTGAAGATGATGTAGACTTTGGAGGTGAAGAAGAGAAAGAACAAGAGGAAGAAAAAAAGATGGAAAATGAAAAACAAGAAGAACCTGAAAAGGACACAGATCCACTGGATGGCAGCCCCAGAAAACCCAGGTATCTGTGTACAGCTTTGGGTATCACTCAACAGTTCTGGCCTTTATCTGCTACTGACAGTTTTATGTTTTTGGTTGATTTTTTTTTTGATTCTTGGAAATTGAGAAAAAGTTTATTTAAGATCACATTACATTTGATTTAGCATACTTAGAATGTTACTAGAATACTCATATACCCCTAGTAGTATAAAATATACAATATTGTGATATATACTTCATAGCTACTCATCTGTTCTTGTGAGTCTTTCATCCTCTGGCAACCGCTACAGTGTGGGCTGGGCCAGGTACTAGTGGGGTCTTCATTACTTGGCCATTGAATTGAATTCTCCTGTACTAACTAGGAGGCAACACCTTATAGAATGTGACTACTAACAAATAGCAAAAGTTAGGAACTTCAAGTAGGACCACATTTAGTGCTTAATACCTAAATATTTGTTTAGTTGTTAAGTTTTGTATTTTATGTTAGTCAAAAGGAAGAACCTTGGTCATAGAATGATTATTTATCACTGAGATGTTAATTAAGTCTTAAGCTATGTCTTGTCTTTGAGCATATTTAAATCATCTTTTTTTTTTTCTTTTTTGCATTTCACAGCTGTGTATTTCACAATAGCTCGTTTCTCATATGGTAGATGTGAAAACTAAGGATCTGGGAGGGTAAGGGTGTGCCATTTGTGGAAACAGCACAGGATTTTAAAGCTTGAGAGATTTATTTAAATGATAGAATGGACTTCAAGTAAAACAAACAACACACACACACACACACACACACACACACACACATACACACACCAAGAATGTCTGGTGTTCGGCAAGAGAGAGACAAGGTTGGTGTCATCACATAATTGAAGCCCTCAGTTGCATGAACACCTTGATACCCAAGGGTTCGAGCTACTTAGAGGAAAATGTGTTGTTCTTCTGTACTTGTTGAGATACAGCATAAATGAGGCAGGCAAATGTAGAGCCTATTTTCTTAGATATAGAAAGCAATTTATGTTGTATAATTGTTCCTTCATTTTATTCATAGTTGGAAAGAATAGAAAAGGATGAAGAAAGAAGAAAGAATCTGATCTTCACTCTTTTTATGTGTTTGCTTTTCAGAAGCCCAAGGCAATTTTATCAATATTGGTTTCATTCCACAGATCATTACCCCAAAAGTGACATCCAATGATACCTGACTTTTCTATTTATTTATTACACTAATCTACTTATTTATTATGTTTTAATGGCATTTGTTCAAGAGAACAAATAGTTTGTTTTCAATGACTAACTTGAAATATAAGTATATTTTTAAAAAGATAACACTCAAATCTATGTTTTACCTCTTTATCTTCATTTGAAATGGATCACGTTCTACCACTTGGTAAACTTTATTTATAAAGTCTTTTATAGCAGCCTAAACAATTACAATGTCAAGTTTAAAAATGTTTTATGAGGAAAGAGATCGAGGTCAAACCTTTAGTTAAAACTATGTTAGTCATTATATTAGTCACTTAGCCATGTGTGGCCCTTGAGCATGTAAAATGTGATTAAGTCCTATTTAAGATGTACTGTGTGTGTAGAATAAATCTAACATAATTCTCCTATGTATACATATGAAAAAATCTGAGTGAATCTCACCATTGTATACACCCACAAAGATGGGGTCTTAATTAGATATAAGATATACCTCATACTTGTATAATTTTATCAAAATGCATTGTCTTGTATAACTAAGAAGAAACAATAAAAAAGAAAGATCACTTGACTCTTCAGAGTTTGTCCAAAGTGTTTTAGTAGTTCATGGATCCAGGTGATCATGGAGTAATGGGAACTCATAAGTGGGTACTAATGTTCTAAATTCATTTGAGCCTTGGAAACAAGGTTGTGATGGCTAAAATTCCCTCAAATGTTAATTCTCCTATTATAGAAGAGTAGCAAACAAAAAGGTGTAAAAGAGCATACAAAGAAAATAATTTATTCAAGATTTTTGCCCATATTGTTGATTTCATCTATCTCTCAATTCCAATTCATTTTCTTAATCTTAATAAAATATACTTCTTTCAAGCCCTCAAATAAAGATGTACTGTGTGAAAAACAATGTAAAATATCTCAGTAATAACTAATGATATATTGAGATGATAATATATTTGGTTAAACAAAATATGATATTAAAATTATTTTCATCAGTTTCTTTTAAATTTTTTAATGCAGCTACTAGAACATAGATCGAGTTATATGTCTTTTGGACAGAGCTGCACTAGAGCATGGTTTTGAAGGAAACTTCTTAGTACTTTCCACCTCCTGCCCCCTTCGATGTCAGGCACTTTGTTAATCTATCCTTGTATTGATGAACATTTAGGTTTTTTCCTTCTTTTGGCTATAGTGAATAGTGCTGCTATAATAATTTGCTTACTAGTACTTGTGCAATATTTAAACATGGGTGTATCTACTCCCCTGCACTGGAAACTTCTGAATGATCAGGACTTTAAAGGGTTTTATTTATCTTCCTCTCCCAAAGCCCTAGACACTGAGTTTTCCACATAGTATTTGTTCAGTTAAAGTCTATTAATAAACTAAACTTAGCACATTCAAAAGCCCTTTTTATTGTCACCAGTGCTGATATTTTAAAGTGTACTATCATGTAGTATTCCTTATGGCTAGAATTACACAGTGAGACAGAGGCACAGGGCCTCTAACCATCATTACTTAATTTGAAAGGGCAGGCCAATAGATTGTTTTCCATATAGTGTTATTTGAGGGTCTTCAAACTGGTGTTTATGTTTCATAAGTTGTTAATATGGTATTTCTCTTAGACTTAGACAGGAAGGATGTATGTACTGAGTTCCATACTTTAGAGTCCCTACTTTCGCCCTCTACCAGCCATGACCCTACATATAGGTCCAGGAGACTGTTGAGAACAAGGGTTATTTCCTTGCTAGGCCATGTTTCAGGTAGCTGGGACCTCTGAATAATTTCAAGTCTGCTGTCAGGTTCTGCATGCTCTTCTTGGAACTGTCCTTGGGAGGTTGACTATCCTATCAGGGTATCTGCTCCCAGACCCAAGGGGTGGCTGTTATGCCTGGAACAGAGCATGGAGCCTGGTCTTGGAGACAGGCCAGAACCAAGATCAGAGGAGCAGGGATGGGAAAGAGAACCATGGCAAGGAGGCGGGACTTTGGGGAGTCTGAAAATTCAAAAATCCAACCTAAATCTTCAGGTCATTATTAAGGCACACTTGTTATTTGTAGTATTAGTTTTTTTAAATGTACATTTGTACATTTGTAGTATTAGTTTTTTTTTTAACATGGATCCGAAACTGAACTCTTAATCCAGTTAAATATCTAGTTGGTTAGGCTAAATATCTAATCTAAAACCCTTTTACTTCCCTCATTCCATGCCACACCTTATTGCCTAAGTATAGTGGTCCCATGTTTCCAAAAATGCTGGTTCCAGGAACCCATCTTGCTGTAAGAGTTAGAACTAGTCCCTGAGCTAGGCTGAAGGACAACCACGAACAATCATGTCCCTTCCACTCATCTAGCTGCACCCCTCCACCCATCTCTCTCTTTGCTCCCCAGCTATTCATACACAAAACTTCTTCAATAGCAGTCCCTCCCAATACAAGTGCCCACCTGGAGCCACTGGCTTGGTCAGGCACAACTATGTAGAGACCCTTTATGTGTAGCACAAGGTCTTAAGGACACTTTACTCCTCTGACAAACTTCAGGTCTGAGTTGCCAGGATTCTATTTGACTTCCCTCCCCAAGTCACCAACAGACTGAGACAGACTACCAAATAGGTTTTGTTGAATTTATTTGGTTTGCACATATCAAAAAATCAAGAAAGCTAAAAGAAGCTGAAATCTTGCCAAAATGTGCTTTAGGCGTTAGTAATTCTTAAACTCTTCATTTTAAAACAGAGCTTTGTTAACAGTGGAAAAGAAATTGTTAATGGAAAGTTCTCAGCGTGAGAGTAACCTAATAGAAGTCCACTGTCAGAAAAGTGGGAAGGAAGATATAACAGCTACTCTTCCAAGATTAGCTGGAAAAAGGGCTTCTACTTTAATAAAGTGTTCACTATGGGGATACAAAGGGAATAAATCAAGTCAACTGAAAATCTAGTATACCCAAAAAGGCTAAGCTACAATATCAGGAAAAAAAAAGATATTTTATAGAGAAAATGCAAAATCTAGCATGTATTTGCACAGTGTCACATTATACCACCATCTGCAAAAACCAGCACCAAGTATCTAAATTAGCTCTGGCATCTCATTGCCTCTCTGGACAGTTTTGCATAAAGAAGCATCCCACTCAGAATGTAAAGTCACAGTTAAATTTCTAGGCCTATATTTCTGTTCAAGCAAAGTAGCCCCGGTGACAGAGGATGGTATGGTGATTGCTATCCTGAGAAGTTGTTTCTGAGTCTCTAGGAAAATGAGTTATGTTTACTTCGCAGGTATCTAAGGGAGTGCCCCCCAAATGTTTGATGGGCTTGGGGGTGGAACAAAGGGAAAGGACATGGAAAAGATTTAAGTGACTTCTAGTTCACCTGGATGAGGTTCTAGGGTGGCCTGCACCTTGGAAAGTGAGCCAATTGAGAAGCCAACTGGGGGTCAAGGTGCCCACATCTTTACTCCTGAGCCTGGGAGTTTAGTGGAGACCATGCCACCAGGATGGGAAGGGAGCAGTCAAAATGTACTAGGCTATTTCCCCCTCCCCTCACTGTGACCAACCCTCTCCTCCTGCTTCTTCCTCTCCCACTCTTGTCTTTTTGCATTTTCTCTTCCTCATGTTGGGGGTGAGCAGGTCACTGGGGAGGTTGGGGCTTTCTGACGTAGTAACTTGGGAGGTGCCTGTCTCTAGGAATGGAGGGTGGGGAGAGGCTGGTTTCATCATTTGTGGTTTCCTAGAAGCAGAAAGTTCATTTCTCTGTGGCTTTGTCATAGCAGTGTTGCTTTGGGCTAAATCCTCATGAAGCAGACTGCTAAGGGGAAGGGATTAAGGCTACATGGAGTTCTCCATTATAAGACTGGAGTCAGAGGAGACAGGAGCCCTCTAGTAGCCCCAGACATGCATCAAAGTAGTGAGGTGGTGAGCTCACCAAGTGCCTGATGGAAACAGCAGCTTTTGGCATCTGTAGAACATTGAATTTTGACAAGTACTTGGTGCTTAAGCACTAGGATATTATAATAGGAGGAACATTGACATTTCTGGGCAACTGGAGAAGGTCCCAATGGAGTTGGGATAAGAAGCCAAAAACCGATGAACTAACCATCTAGAGAAGTAGGATAACTTCCAAGAAGCATCGTGCTCATAGAGATGGGTACACATCTGCCAGGGCTGCCACAGATTGAGATGGGGCCTGTGCTCTGTGTTACTGTCACCCAAGTTGAAAGATTGATAAGTGCTGTGTTACTATCACCCAAGTTGAAAGCACTGGAGGCCCCCAGGGACATGTAGAAAGTGTTTCAAAGGGTAATGGGTTGATTAGAAGACTGGCCTTTGCAAAATTTTTCTTGGAGATGCAAAATTTTCACTTCCACCAACCAAAGTAATTCAGCATTTATGTAGGCTCATAAAACCTAAAAACCAATCCCTGGGCCAAATCATCTCAATATTTATTTCCATTAGGATTGCTTTATTTGGTTGAGAAAAACAACCATCTTTTAATTGCTCTAACAAAGTGTTTATATTTTCTTCATTTGAAGGCATATTCTCCAAATTTAAATATTTCACAATTCTACAGCAGTGCAAAGATGGTTCCATAGTTTTATAGAGGAGATGCTGGGTTTCTAGATGCTGGCAGTGACAGTACTGAAAGTTAGGCATTAATGGCATTTATTTCATTCAAAGAGTTAAAAGTTTTAATTCCCATTTCTAAGGCTCTTTTGCTTAATAAAAAATTGTCATAGTAAAGAAATCACTACACAGAATTACTACAGCTATTTGGCAATTATCATTTAAAATGCTGACGCTCCACCCAGGAGCTATTTATTGCATGATCTCTGCTATGTGACTCCATGCTTTGGCTTTCTTCTTGGCCATAGAGAACCAAACAGGCTCATCTGGCTCCACAGGCTCAACAGGCTCCAGTGGCTGTTCGGGCCCAGCTGGAAGACTTGAAGATCGTTTAGTTTCTTTATCTATCGCAGACATGCGAAGTGTCTTCTGATCTTCAAAAGCAACTGGAACCACAGAAAATAAATCACAACCAGTAAGAAGTCCCAGAGATGTTGGTGTATTTTTATAACATGAAATAAAATGTTTCATGTTTTCAGATTTCCCCTGAGTCCCTTTCTCTTAGTACTTTCCACCTCCTGCCCCCTTCGATGTCAGGCTTCTAAAAGTCAGTGCCATGACTTTGGAATGTCAAAGGAGTAAAATCGACATGTGGCCATAAGGGCTTGGCCATGGGAAGTCTTGAGAAGTAATTACTATGTTGTACTGCCAATCTTTGGGTAGTTATTATTGGCTTGTCTTACACTTTTGAACTGAGACCAGAAGGGAAACATATCTGATTGATTCTTTTAAAATTTCAAATCAGGTAGTGTTTTTTTGTTTTTGTTTTTTTTGCCAATTCACAATGTAGTATGAAATTAAATCACTGGTGTCTCAATAGCTCCATCCAATAAAAGTCAATATTAAACAATATTGTAGCAACCACCCCATCCTGGCCAAGCACACTACCTCCCTATTTTCCAGTTCCACACCCTCCCTCATCCTGCTCTATGACTGATTGACTCAGTGACTTCGACTCAACCAGTATTTCTCAATCTTGAATGCACATTAGAATCGCCTATGGCTCTTTTAAAAAATACCAGTGCCCATGTATTTGCTGAACCAACCTCATTGGATAAGCCAGGGCCATCTAATTTTTTTAAAACTCACCAGGTGATTCTAATGCTCAGGGAGAGTTGAAAATGACTTGACAGCAGTGTAGTGCCCATGAAGCAATGAACAGGTCAACTGTTGCTATTTCATGGCTAAAATAATGGGTTCCTGAATTCCTAGTCTAATTTCTTCATGAAGGGGATTAAGGGAGAAGGCAAAGATGGCATCATTTAAATCCATCTTCCCCTCATCCTACTCATGCTGGGAAAATCCCTCTGGCACACAACTCTTACTGATGAGATCACATTATTTTATCACATCACAGTGGTCTTTCAGCAGTTAAAATTTCCCCACTTCTCACATCCCTGCTGAGAATACAGAGGGATTAAACAGTTAAAAATGGTTCGATACCATTAGGCCTTCATAGTGGATTATTTTCAACAATTTTATGGGGGATATAGCAGGTGGAAAAACATCACTGTGCCATGAGCTGGAAAATGACTTGGTATTTTTCTCTTGCATAACTTAGCCGCAAGAATGTTATTAGTGAGTGACAACAGTTTTGTGCCTCCACAGCTTCCTCAGTGAGATGAAAGGCTGGAAGAGCTTCTGAAAGTTATACACTGGACTTAATGTTAGTCATAAGAAATGAATTTTCCTAAAGTAACCGAATATCTGTTATCTTCTTATAGAAGAGTCATGACTGTGATTTGGGGAATAAGAGACAGGTTAACTGAGCTTGCAATTGCAGAAATTTCACAACATTCTTCCAGAGCAGGTTTTTGTGAGATCAGGGGATGTGCTTTTACCTGATTTGGCAGGCTTAGGTGGCTTCGTTGGTGGCATCTTCTCCTGTATATGGACAGTAGAAGTCAAAATCTTTTTTACTTGGCTTTCATTTGCAGAGCCAGCTCCCTTTAATATAAAAATGAAAACAGAAAGCTTGTAAATCCTGACCAACCCCCCCCTCAGCAAATTGCTTATTCAGAAAATCATATGGGGCATTGTATTTTTTGGGGGGTAGGGGAACCAGGGATTAAACCAAGGGATGCTTAACCTTGACCACTGAGCCACATCCTCAGCCCTTTTTATGTTTTATTTAGAGATAGGGTCTCACTAAGTTGCTTAGGGTCCTGCTAAATTCTTGAGGCTGGCTTTGAACTTGCAATCCTCCTGCCTCAGCCTCCCAAGTTGGTGGGATTACAGGAGTGCACCACTGAACCTAGCCATATAGAGCAAGTTCTATCCTGGGCACTACAAGTAGTTCAACAGGATAAAAGGGGGGGGGGAGATCGACCATATAATATAAATATATATATATATATATATATATATATATATATATACATACACATATAAGAAAAGAAATAGCACTGAACCTTTGGTTTAGAATGTATGGTGACAAAACCTAAGCTGGCTCATGTTTACCACCTTTCAGACCTGGAAGAAAAGGTTGTCTGATTATACAAATAGTGTAAACAGAATAACATGATAATTATTTAGCTTGAAAACAACCTTTTCCCCGGCACTTAACAGCAAGCTAGCAGAATGTGATGGCTACAATGAATCTGATCAATTCATTAATTCATTGAAGTGAGTTCCATAGGATTTCTACTTTGCAAAACTTTCTGACATGACTAGAACATTCTTGCATTAGAAAGTGTTGGTATAAGTCTTTTCTAAATTTTCAAATTAACCTCTCCACAATTGGCACACTTTAATGACTTTATACATACTAGGATATTTCCCCCTGACAAAACCTTTCACCAAGGTGGACTTAACTTTTGTATGGTACTCCTCCCATATAAACACAAATGATAAGAAAATATCTTTAAGCAAAAAATTAGTTTTTCACATGATCCTTCAATAACTTTAGTAAGCCCTTAAACGCATTGGAATTGCTGGATGCTATGGTGCACACCTATAATATCAGTGACTCTGGAGGCTGAGGCAAGAGAATCGAAAATTTAAGGCCAGCCTCAGTGACTTAGTGAGAGCCAGTCTGAAATGTTTAAACTGAAAATAAAAAGGGCTGGGAATGTAGCTCAGTGGTAAAGTGCCTCTGGGTTCAATTTCCCAGAAAAAAAATGCATGGGACTTTAGATATATTTTGATATGTTAATTTGATATGATTTCTTGAGACAGCTTTGAGCAATTTTTATAAGGGAGGAAGGCTTCATTCTATCATCCTTGATCCACAGGTAGTACCATTAGCCTAGTTCATTGCATAATATTTTTTTCAAGATTCAGGTAAGTACCACACCAAACCAAATTAACACCTAGAAATCCAAATGTTGAACACATTAAGGTGAATTGTTATCTACTGATATGGAAAGGTGCCCAGAAATGAAATGCTCAAGAAAAAGTAGACAGGCTGGGGTTGCAGTTCAGTGGTAGAGTGCTTGGTTTGCATGCATGAGGCACTGGGTTCAGTCCTCAGCAACATATAAAAATAAATAAATAAAATAAAGATATTGTGTCTATCTACAACTAAAAAAATATTTTATAAAAAAATAGTAAAGTAATCCCCCTTTATCCATGGCTTCACTTTCTATTGTTATAGTTACCTGTGGTCAACTGCAGTCCAAAAATATTAAATGGAAATTTTCAGAAATTTACAAATTTTAAATTGCTTGCTTTTTTTTCATTAACATGATAAAGGTTCAGGTCATCTCACTCCTACTGGGATGTACATTATCCCTTTACCTGGCTTATCTACACTGTATATGTTATCTGACTGTTAGTCACTCAGTACCCATTTTTTTAAACTTATTTTTTTAGTTGTAGATGGATACAATACCTTTATTTTATTTATTTATTTATATGTGTTGCTGAGGATCAAACCCAGTGCCTCACATGTGCTAGGCAAGTGCTCTACCACTGAGCCACAACCCCAGCCCCTCAGCAGCCATCTTAATTATCAGATGAACTGTCAGGATATCACAGTGCTTGTGTTCAAGAAATCCTTATTTTACCTAATAATGGCCCCAACTTGCAAAGAGTAATGATGCTGGCAATTCAGATATACCAAGGAGAAATTGAAAACTGCTTCCTTTAAGTGTACAGGCAAAAATTCTTGACTTAATAAGGAAATAAAAAATCATGCACTGAGGTTGCTTAGATCTATGGTAAGGATTTGACTTCCATCTGTGAAATTGTGAAGAAGAAATAAGAAATACATGCTATTTTTGATGTTGCTCCTCAAACTTCAAATATTAGGGCCACAGTGCATGAACAGTGCTTAGTTAAGATGAAAAAGGCACTAAATTATGGGGCTCAGTACTATATATGGTTTCAGGTATCTACCAGGGATCTTGTATCCCTGTAAAACTAAATACACTAGTCCCCCCCCAGTTAAGGGGGGAACTAGTGTATTTATAGTTTGATTCCCATTTATAAAAATACACATATGTATTTATAAGTATAAAATATGTATAAAGATAGACACTCAACTTTTACCCCAGTGGTTACCTTCATGTTTTTTTTTTTTTTTTTCGTTGTTGTTTTGTCTATTTACACTTATTTCTCAACCAATTTCATGGAATCCTGCTCTAGAATATTTAGGACAGGATTTGATTTATTCATTACTTTTGGCAAACCCTTTAAGAGCATCAAGTAGGTCACATTTGTACAAGTCTTTTCCCCTGCAGAGTCCTCCTGTCTTGATAAATGCTCCCAAAGGGAGGGGGCCTGAATATCTGACAAAGTTCTCAGTGCAAACGTAATCAATGACTCCAGAAACCCTTTTGGAGTGTTTTCTGAGCTGCTTCACATCCTACCCCATATCTAGGATCCTTGGTCTCATCCTTGGCTCCAGTTCTACTTGTGGGTTTTAGCTCCTTTTTAGGAATATAGGCCTGGGAGCCTCTCTGTCTCTGCTTTGTCCTGGTTATCCAAACTGCCTCTGTGATGGCACAGTCTGACTGGTGACAAGAAGACTTTCCTGAGAAAGAAATGAAAGGTATTAGAACTGAAGCAAGGCAGGCACAATAATGTCCCAAATGGGATTCGTGTTAATTACCAAATGAAATTAAACAGATGTCAAGTAGAAAAGGATTCCTTTCTTTTGTGCCCTCCATATAACCCGGCAAGGCAGGAGTCCCTTGGGTAGTTAAGAAGCTGTTCTTAAAAGTGAGCATACTGTCCCCTTACTGGATCCTTTCCTTCTTTTGTCCGTCTCGCTTCTCATCCCCAAATTGGGGCAGGACAATGGTCGTCAGGTGGGCTGGGAAAATTCCTAAGAGGCCATAGGCTTGGGTCATTGATATCATCCCTCCAACTCCAAAGAAAATCTTTGAATTTCCTGCTTGATAGTCCCTCATGCAAGTGTGTGGTTACATAGGTATGTATATACCAGACTATGTGTGGGTTGGAATGATGGTAGAAAGGTTTTGGGAGAGACTTGTGCTCACAAGATCACCTAGCTCTGGATTCTTAGACATTTCAGGTAAAGGTCCTAGCTCTGGATTCTTAGACATTTCAGGTAAAGGAAGAAGCTGTGTAAATACAAATATTTACAGTAAACTACAATTTCAGGCTGAGAGTCTGAACATCATGCTATTCTTGAATTGGCTCTGAACAATGTACATGGTGGTTTGGAGGGGTATAATACATGTAAAAGTATTTTGAGAAAAGTTATAAGTCCATCCAAAAGTATGGTGTACAGAGGGTGGGGAGAGGGAGTGAAAAGGTGATCATGTGTCTATTATAAATGTGGGTAGATATCCATACCAGTGCCCCCTTGGGAAGGGGAAGAGTCAAAATGAACTACCTCCAAGTCTATTCATCTAGATTGAGGCATTCCCCTACTCCTACATCCACAACACAGCCCTAGCAAAACAATAACCTAATAGGCAAGGCTAGAACAGACTTCAGACTCATTCAAGGCTTTGCTTTCCCATTCTTTCCTCCACATGGTACCTACTTGCCATCTGGAGAGATAAAAGTCTCACCTGGGGGTATGTAAACTGGTGGCCTCTTGAGCATGCTTTCCAATTTATTCCTGTTCTGTTGCTTCTCTGCAAAGTTAGCAATATCACTGAGGTCTTCTGGGGTACTCAGGAACACCTGTGGATTGCTTCTTCTCATGTGCCGTTCCTTGCCCACAGAGTGTGCAATTGGGCCCAAGCGCACTGAAGAAAATTGTGCCAAATTATCTCGTTTCTCATTCTTAAATTTCTGTGGAGAAGGGATTCTTCTCAGTCGGACTCCAAAAAGGTTTTCCACCTCAGCTTCACTGCTGGGTATGCTGGTATGGCCATCATTATGTCCAGTACCACTCTGAAGAACTTCCTCCTTAATGTAAGCACTCCCAGAAATGGGTGTTTTCCCAGGAAGAGTAATGTTGAACTTCCCAGGTTTGTTAGCAGAGACTGGGATGCTCTTAATGAAGTCTTCTGAAACTTGGCTGAATTTCTTGGTTTTATTTGGAGAAACAGGGCATTTTGATAAGGACCAATTGCCTGGATTGTTCTCAAAAATGGTTCCCTCAGCAGCAACATTCGTGGAACTTGAGTGGGTCTGTTGCTGGTATCCAGGATTTCCATATGCCTGGAAAGGATTAACAGGAAAGGAGGCCTCTGCAGGACTGCTCCAATCTACAGGAACATTCCCTGAGCCTGGTGATAAAATTGGTGGCTGCTCAGATCCATCCAAAGTTTGGGAAGGGTGTCTGGAAGGCATATGCTCTTCAGAGATCCTCCACTCTTCTGGGGAGTCATCAGAAACTGAGGAGACTTCCTGCTGGTACTCAAACTTCCCCAGGACCTGGGAAAACTGTCTGGTAGGTACCTGCCCTTTAGAACTGCTCCACTTGCTAGGGACATTCTCTGAATATGAGAGACCTTCTTGTGGGCCTTCAGGCCTCCCCACTGACTGTAAAGGGTGCTTCATAGGTAGCTTCTTCAAAGAAGTGCCTCCCTCAGAGTCAGCATTCTCCCAATCTGAGAAAACATGGTGTTCCATTTTAGGCCTCAGCAAAGATTTGAAAGGATGACTTAGCGAGAGAGGATCTGCATACATGCCCCCATGAACAGAAGCACTCTCTGAGAAGATCTGCTGTGCCATAAACTTCACAAATGACTCGGAAGGACTGGGAAGCAGTGGTTTCTTAGAAAAATCTTCTTCACCAGCAGGATTCTCTAGACGTGAGGACATTTCCTGAACTTTAGACCTCACTGAGAACTGGGTGGGATACTCAGGAGGCAATGCCCTCCCAGAATTACCTTCCTCAACAGTAGCACCCTCAAAACTTGGGGACCCTTTCTGGACTATGTGCTTCATAACAGAACGGGAATGAGGGTTGGAAAGCAGCACGTCTCTAGTACTGCCTCCCTCAATGGTAACACTTTCTGGACTTGTAGAGGCTTGTTGCTCAATTTGAGGGTTCCCGCATGGCTGGTAAGTATATCTGGGAGGTATTGGACAGCTCCGTTCTATAGAAGTGCTCACTGAACCTGAGGAGATTTCTTGCTTGACTGCTGGTCTCTTCTGGGACTGTAAGTGATGTCCAGGAGGTCTCAATTCCATTGAACCACTCCCTTCAGCTGCAGAGTTCTCTGGACCTGCAGAGGTTTGTTGCTCAAGTTTAGAGCTCACCCATGACTGGAAAGGGTTTCTTGGCATTGGCTCCAGAGAACCACTCCATTGTGCAGAAGCACTTGCTGAACCCATGGAGACTGGTTGCTTCATTACTGGTCTCATCGGGGGCTGAGGAGATATTTTGGGAATTGGTGGAGCTTTAGGGATGCCCCACTGGGTATCAGAGCTCTCTGAATTTGCAGAGGCTGGCTTAAATGCAGAGAACAGCCACGACTGCAAAGGGTGTCTGGGAGACACTGACTCTGTAGAAACGTTCCCTTCAACCTGAGGGTTCTCTGCACATGCAGAGACATTTTCCTGAAATGTAGGGTTCATCCATGGTTGGAAGGTGTGTCTGGCAGACACTGGCTCCTCAGGATTGGCCCATTGTGAAGAAATGTTCACTGAGTCTACAGTCATCTGTGGGTGGAAATGAGGCCTCATCAAATGTTTTCCAGGGGGCAGGTCCATGAATATGCCCTTTTCAACAGCAGTGTCTTCTGAGAACATTTGCTGGACTTGAGGATTTGTTATGGACTGGGGAGAATACTTGGGGTACAGTGGTTCCACAGAAGTAATAACTTCTGAACCCGAGAACATGTTTTGTTGAACTTTAGGGTTTATCAAGGGCTTGGAAAGAAGTATAGTAGACCCTTCAATAGCTTTGCTCTCTGGAAATAAGGAAGTTTGCTGCCCCATTGGAGGGTTCAGCCATGTCTGGAAAGGGTGTGTGGGAGGCCTTAGATCCACAGAAATGCTCCCCTCCACAGCAGTACTCCTCGGACTTGCAGAGACCTGTTGTTGGATTAGGGGTCTCCTCATGGACTGAGAATGAAGTTTTGGAGGCAGTGTCTCCATAGAAACCTCTCCCACAACTGCAGCACTGTCTGCACCCAAAGATAATTGTTTCTCAACTTTTGGTCTCACTGAGGGTTGGGAAGAATACCTGGGCAGCACCTCCATAGAAATAACTTCTTCCCTAGTTGTAATATCTGAATGTAAGGAGAGTTTTTGCTCAACTAGAGACCTCTTTAGTCGCTTAGAAGCCATTCTGGGAGGGAGTGGATCCATAAAAATGCCCCACTCAACTGCACTGTTCTCTGGACCTGTGGGACCTTTTGGCCCAAATTTAGGGCTCACCCATGGCTGGAAAGGACAGCTGGGAGATACTGGCTCCAAAGAACTGCTATATCCTGCAGAAAGGCTCACTGAACTTGAGAACACTTGTTGCTGAACTATCTGAGGAGGGTGCCTGGGGGGCATCTGTTTGACCGAAACTTTCCACTCTTTAGGAGTGTTCTTCGAAACTGAGGACACTTCTCTTTGGTCTTGTGGCTTCCCCAAGGCCTGGTCAGAGTTTCTGAGAGATACATCTTCCTCCAAGCTGCTCCAATCATCATCACTGTTGCATTTTTCGGCATAACTATTTGATTCTGTGGAGAATTCTGTATCTTCAGGTTCCTGTAAAACCAGCTTCTCCTGAGACCTGGAGGCGGCAGCAAATCTTTTTGATTCTGAGAAGACTGCTTCAAGCTTTCGCAAGGATCGGGAGAAGCGAATGGTGGCCATTTCCTCAGGACCTCTCCCCTCCTCAAGAATACTATCTGTTTCTGAGGAGGCATCTTCAGGTTGAGGCTTTCCCAAGAACTTGTGAGAATATTCAGGACCCTGATTCTGTTCCAAACCACTCATTTCAACGAAACTTTCTGATTCTGGGAAGCCTTCTTGTTCGCCTTCAAGCTTCTGTGGGGACTGGAAGGAATGTTCAGGAGCCCGCTGCTCCTGAACACTCCCCTCCTCTGAAGCACTATTTGAATCTGAGGACACTTCTTCATCTTCAGGCTTCTCCAAAGACTGGGAAAGGCTTCTGGGAGATAGCCTCTCTGTAGAAAGGCTTCCCTCTGCTACTATATTTGCCACACCTGGAATAATGACTGTAAAGCCCTGGAGAATATTTCCAGGAGACTTTTCTTTGCAGATAGTTGGGACACCCTGGGCTAACTCCATTTTGGACTGGGAATTTTGCAAACCATGGCTGGAAGCTTCTTCTTCCCCTGACTGGACATGTGAAGGATCCCTAAGCACCTGAGCCTCTACTGCCACTGAAAGAATGTCCTCTTCTTGGGCTTTAGAAAGTCTTCCTACCATTGGTAAAAGAGAAGCTCTGCCATCTGGCTTCTTGGCTCCACAGGCCCCATTTTCATGGTAGAGTGGTGGACCACTCACCATGGATTCTACCATGTCTTTAGGTATGGGTTGTGGTGCTGATGCTTTTTTGGCTTTAACTTCTAGGCCAACATTCTTCTTTACCATGTCACCTTTATCTGAAAGCAACTCCTGAGAAGTAGTACCTTCTGCCTGTGGAGTTGTGAACTGCTCCATGGTTTGCTTCTCGAAGGTTAAGTGCCGGAAAGGGCAATCACTGGCAGTCTTCTCCAAATGTGAATAATCATATCTATCACCCAGGATATGCAGTTGACAAGATGGTAGAAGGCATCCTGTTCGCCCATACTCATTTGTTCCCAAAATACTTGAACCTTTCCTTCTACGTCTTCTTCCATATGCTGCCAACATTGGGTAGCCCATGCTCCCAGTAGGATCTGTGTTTGAAGCCTGTTCGGCTATCTTCTGATCATAAATCTCAGTTTTGTTGCTCGGGTCCTGGTTCAAGGTACCTGCACCAAATAGAAATTAGAAAAGGAGAAATGTGTATGCTTTAGACTTCCTAAAACAGGAAATGCTCTATTCTAGCCCAGTTGGTACCTATTTGCTACTGAATTTACTAGCATGAAGAAGCACTGTTCAAAAGACAAAGAATAAATGGGTCACAATTAACTTTCTGTTGTTGAAAATGGTTTCAATCAAAGGGAAATTTCAATTGCATGGACTGATTCCAGGGTTAGCTCATCATCATTTAATAATCGTCTGGTCCACCATTAGGTGCACATAAAAAGAGGCAAATTTTGAACTTGTAACAATGATTATCTTTGAAGAAACTGATGGGGGCAGGGGGAAGGGAAATTTTACTTTCTCTTTAGTATTTTTATTTTCTAATATTTATCTGAACTGCTTGAAATTCCAAATTATGTCCATTTATGCTTTATTTTTTTAGAAAGGTATCATCAGAAATTATCTGAGAGGTAAGAATTTTGCCCAGTTTTCTTCTATTTTCTCCTTTCTTATGTTAAAATAATTCTATGTGATATACATGCACAGCAAATGTTTGAATACATGAAAAGCAATACTTGCAACATTTTAATAATTCAATTGGTCCACAGGCTTCAAGTTAAGCACAAGGTAGCAGTTATACAAATTGCTCCTCTCCTTTCTTAAGGAATTCCTTTTTCTAAGAAACTCAGTTTGATCCCCTGGTGGCAGGGCCCCTTGCTGCCTATCCTTCCTCATAATCCACTGCTTCCCTAGTTCAATCTTGTGTTTTTTTTATACAGCATACTGCACTGAAAATAGCGGGTTGTGCTCCAAAACACTTCTATCACATGGAACACCAAACAAAATGTCTGCCCCTGTAGGTATTGACTCAGTTCTGTCCTCTTTTTGTAAAAAATCTGAAAAAAAAAATTACTTCCTTTTCTCAGATCTCCCTTCCTCCCTCTATCCATTTTTTTCCTTTCTGGATTGATTTTGTGGTTTGGTTTGTTTTCATGGGAAAATATGATTGAGGATATCCTGTCTTTGAACCCATGTGTGAATCTTTTTTGTAGCAAAAACATTAAATAACTGTTCAACTTAATTTGTGGAACAGGAATTTTGTTTTATCAAATATTGCTTGAAATTAGCTGGCCATTAGCTGCAGCCAATATCCACATTCACATACCCATTAACACACAGAGAGTTTTACTCTGGAGGTATCCATTGGTTGGGAATTTGACAGGTCTTGACTGCCAAGGACATCTGCCTGCAGCTGTACAAGCCCTCTTTGTCCATGGATATGGGAACTGCTTTTGCTATTAACACAAAACCTTTTCTCTGTACTGAAAGGGAAAGGCAACTAAAAAAATTATTTCAGGCCAATTCTGGGGATTTATTTTGTTGTTGTTGTTGTTGTTTTTCTTTTTCTTTCTTTCTTTTTTTGTACCAGGGATTGAACCCAGAGGCACTTAACCACTGAGCAACATCCCCAGCCCTTTTTTTAAAAAAATATTTTATGTTTTATTTGTAGATGGACATAATATCTTCATTTTATTTTTATGTGGTGCTGAGGATCGAACCCAGTGCCTCACACATGCTAGGCAAGCACTCTACCACTGAGCCCTTTTTTGTATTTTATTTAGAGACAGGGTCTCACTGAGTTGCTTAGGGCCTCATTAAGTTGTTGAGGCTGGCTTTGACCTGCGATCCTCCTGCCACTGGGATTACAGGCGTGCACCACTGTGCCTAACCAATTCTGTTATTTTTATCTGGTTCTATTGTTGAAGGGGAATGCAGAAGGGTAATCACTAGCTGTATTCACTGTACTCTACTCTGATATCTGGGCTCATTGAAGAGCTCCACATACACATTAACCTCAGAGAAAATTAAACAAATTTACAAACACACAAAGCACTTCCCTGGTTGGAAATTCATTTAGATAAAACGAGGAACCCATACAAGGTTTACCTAATCCCATACAAGTGACAGCTGTATTAATTTGACAGTTTAGATGGAGAAAACTGGACCAAATTAGAACACATTTTAAACTGGAAGCTCTCTGAGGACCAAGGGCACAGTCTCTGGTAATTCTTGTTCATAACTCATGTCACACTGTACTGTGCAATGAAGTCTAGGATACATGTTTCTGGGTGAGGGTGAAGATGAACCAACCTGTACCATCTTTATTCAGCTTCTTTTGATCAATTTCTTTTGGGTTATTTGTACTCTTTTCTCCTTCAGAAATCAGTGAAAGGCTTGTCTCGTCCTGCTTTGGTTTCATCTAAAACATGGAAAGAAAAATATCAAATCTGATTGACATGCTCTCTACCCTTGTATGATTGCTAAAAAAAAATCAGGAAAAGGGTCATTGATGCTAGGTTTATAACAGTACCAGTAAAGATGGAAGTTATTTCTTTATTTAATGACTTCATTTTACTTATTTATTTTGTGTGGTGCTGAGGATCGAACCCAGTGCCTCACACGTGGGAAGCAAGCACTCCACCACTGAACTACAATCCCAGCCCTAATGGAAGTTAGTTCTAATGACACTCATCAAGAGTTCCCTAGGGATGATTTTACCTATTGAAAGTGAGTGATCCAGATCTGGGGTTCCCAGACTCTAAGTGACATGCTGTAGGAATCTACTGTACCACATTGGAAGGACATAAATCTGAAAATGGAGTTGTTGGACCTTACAACAATCATGCTTTTGGCAACATTGGAATTCTCAGATTTGCTCACTGGACCATGAACCAAATTCAAATCCTGTTTGGCTCTTCTTTGGGAAATTTAATGAAACCATGAATGATGTCTTTCCAGCTCAAAAGAAGAAAGAAGATCAGGGTTTGTTAAGAGGGAAGACAGAAATAGATGAAGAATTCAGTCCTTACACTGAATGGGTTGCAATTAGTTTAGTATAAACAAGGTTTGTAGAGAATTATAGTAGGGTTCTAGAAATGCCAGGATAGCATCAAACAGAACAGTGTTCAGATATTGCTTAGAATAAACCATTTATGACAAGCAACTAAAGGCAGAAATACAACTTTTTATCTTCTCATTCATATTTCCTGAGCTCAAAATAATTTATTGTTGAGTAAATGAGATCAGACAGACCTGGGTTCAAATCTCTTCTCCATCATTTACTTGCTGTGTGACCCTGGGAACATTGTTCTATATATCTCCATGTCCACATCTATAAATTAAGAATTAGGACCCCTTATTTCCGAGCAGAAAGAAAGAGGTGGCAGCCCCTGTATCATAAATGATCCTGGAACTTTTTATATTCATTTATGTGTCAGGGAGAGAGTCACAGAGATGAGGCAGATGTCCCAGCTTTCTCTGAGAGTGATGCCCAGACCTTTTCTATGCAGAAAGAAGAATGTCAGAAGGGTAACACCAAGGTTCCCTTAGCCAATATTCCCTGACTGCCAAGTCTGTGGTGAGGTGTCCAGGGGGATAACATAAGCATAGGGTTTAAAATTGTTCATCCCTTGCTTGACACCAAACCAAGGAGATTGTCTCTACTGCTACCAGAGGTTCTTCCCTGACCCCACACACCTCCAACTGTTCTTTCAAGTCATATTTTGTTTACGTTCTAAAGCAGAGTTAAAATGTCTAAGCAGAGGCAACATTTGGGGTAAAAAAAATCCTGGGCTGGAATTCAGAAAATTGGATTCTGGCTCTGGCTCTATTATCACCTGGGTGTCCACCTTTGGGCCAGTACCTGAACTAGTTGTGTTTTAATGTCTTTCCCTGTGAAATTCTTGCACTACACAGTCATTTAGTCTTCCAGTTCTGATTTTATAGCCTCTTACTTTTAATCCAGAATTGCAGAAGAACTGGGTATTTGATCAAAGTGAATCTTCCACCCAGCATTGTTAAACACCAACATCTTTAAATTCTTAACTTTGGGGGAAATTTTTTCCAAAACATTCCCAATTTTCTTAAACAGGGATCAAGGAACACAATATAACTCTTCTTGATTACCCAAACAAATAGCACACATGATCTATTACATTGGACTATGATAGAGTATATCCCTGAGAGGGAGATTGAAGTAGGAAAGATTCTTTTTTGTGTGTGTGGCGGGGGTGGGTAACCAGGGATTGAACTCAGGAGCACTCAACCACTGAGCCACATCCTCAGCCCTATTTTGTATTTTATTTAGAGTCAGGGTCTCACTGAGTTGCTTAGTGCCTCCTGTTGGCAAGGCTGGCTTTGAACTCACAATCCTCCTGCTTCAGTCTCCTGAGACGCTGGGATTACAGGTGTGCGCCACTGCGCCCGGCAGGAAAGGTTCTTGATCCCTTATACTAAATGATCTCATATTATTTCTGTCATCTCTTTCTGCTATGAGCTGTCATTTCCCTTTGCTCTCAGATCTGAGTCTGATCTGCAGCCATGATTTTATTGTCGTTGTTGTTGTTCTGTTTTGTTTTTGTGATGCTGGGAACAGAACCCAGGGCCTTATACATGCTAGGCAAACATTCCACCACTAAGCTATACCCCAAGTCTATTTTTTTGTGTGGTCATGTTTTTAATACTAGTTTGCCTAAGTACAGCTCTGTTGCTAGAAAGTTGTGTGGTCAAACTCTGTGATAACTCTGCAGAGGTCTTTAGCAGGGTTAACAACACTGTTCTTCATACTTGGAGTTGCTGGAGCCTGACTTCCATACAAGCGGAACAGCGCTATAATTTTTAACTCTCAAATGGGTCTCATTTGATTAATAAGTTAAAAAAAATCCTGATCTGGGCTAGGGTTGAATATCCTCTACCAAGCAGACTGAGTGACCTCCCAGATGCTAAGCCAATAAGCAGGTTCTGGGGCTTACATCCCTGCTTCTGCTTTTTCAGGCCCTCTTATATAAGATCCAAATGGTCAGGACCCACCATCCAACAGACACAAGCTTGCTCATCCCTCTGGAGGGTCAAGGCCAGGACAGCACTCTTGACTTTGCCATCCCAACACCATACCATTCCTGGGGGCAGTCTGCAAAGATGGAACTCATCTTTTCTTATGCAGGAGTTTATTCCCAGGTCTCTTGGAGGACTTACACTCGCTTGAAGGCTCTTCTTTTTTTTGTTTCCTGGGATTTAAAGCCATTTTGTGTCGAGCAGCTGAAGAATCCAGGCGCCCTGGGTGGTGGCTGGGATGCTAAAGCCAACAGGCTGCTGGGTAACATTGGAAGAAGCACATGCAGTTGAGGACTGTGAGAGACCGGTTCCAGTTGATGCTTCAGAGTAGTTCTGGAAAGCGTGGGAGAAAATAAATGAGTCAACCTATATGTTGCCACTCGTCTCAAAGTTGGAAATTCTGGCTGAAGAATTCCTCAATTCCTGGCTGAAGAAATTCTCCTTGAACTACTTTCCCTTTTTCTTCCACTTCTGGTCAATAAAGTTCCACAGTTCCACTGGTCACCTTATAGATGAAAGCAAGAAACAGGAAGCAGTTTGGGTTGTTCTCTTGCTTAGAAAGCATTCAGGGGTTCCCCATTGCGCTCAGGAGACGAACACAAGCACTTAATGGATTTTACAAGATTGGAGGGTTTACATGTTTTCTTGTCTCATATCCCCTGCTTAGGGACAGGAGGACATTTGGCTGGGATGAGAGGTACAACCTGTCAGTGAAACCCAGCAGGGCTCTGGGAGCTTATATTGGCGGGCTGGGTAGTGCAAACAAAATTAGTTTGGAAGAGGACCTGCCTGCAAGTTATATTTTCATAGAGACCGTAAGACCTTTATTTATATTTATGGCTCATGGGAGCAAGGTTGATCTGAGGACCCTAAGGAACTGAGGGCTCCCACCTCTAATGGGGTAGAGATGGAGCTTGTAACCTTGTCACATTATGGCTAGTCTCTATCTCTCTAAACTATTTGGTTCTGGCACACCTAGATAGTTTCCCTGGTAGGAACTTTACATACTCTCCTCTGGGCTTTTGGATAATATTTTCCCTGCTTCCAAGAGACCTCCAGATCTCCTTCCATTCCTAATAAGCTTCAGATTTCTGTGTTTACAGATACCTCTTTGAGGACCACATGATAAGCTGTCTCTACCCTGGACAAGAATAACAAGTGATATAATTTAGCAGGTAGACAGAAATTTATTTTTTTGTTTGTTTTTTGGTACCAGGGATTGAACCCAGAGGTGCTTAACCACTTGAGTCACTGAGCCACATCCCCAGCCCATTTTATTTTTTTTTATTTAGAGACAGGGTCTTGCTAAGTTGCTTAGGGCCTCACTAAGTTGCTGAGGCTGACTTTGAACTTGTGATCCTCCTGCCTCAGCCTCCTGAGCCACTGGGAATACAGGCATGTGCCATCACACCCAGGTAGGCAGAATTTCCATTTGTGTTCACCCACTAAATTCTTTCAAACTACCTCTGCACAGCAAACAGGGACCCCTTTGGTATTTTCAGCTTTCACATGCCTTTAAATTTCCTAACACCAGTATATGCTGATCCAGCAATAACCTAAGCTGCTATCTAAGTTCCAAGAATGGCTCTTTTTTGGCCTGAGATTCCAGTGTCTGGGGACTTAACAGACAGCTAATGGGTCAGGATGATGACAAATGGAGCTCACCGATCTGTTTCTGATTCTGAGAGAAATGGAAAGGAATACTACAGTTGTCTTATGGGACCTATCACACAAATTAAGGATGGTCTCAATCCTTTCTTAACTTCCTTAGGCAATTCATCCATAAATTTATATGACACTACTTCCTGATGTTATCTATTTGTCTTGTGTTCTCTTCATCATGTCAACTCAGGATCTGACTTTCTTAACAAGAGTCCTAAAGTGCAAGAAGTAAAATCAAGAATCAATAAATAGATGGCATCAAACTAAAAAGCTTCTTCACAGTAAAGGAAACAATCAACATGAAGAAAGAGCCTACAGAATGGGAGAAAATCTTTGCCACCTGCACTTCAGATAGAGCATTAATCTCCAGGATATATAAAGAACTCAAAAAACTTAACACCAAAAGCAAAAACAACAACAAATAATAGACACTTCACAGAAGAAATACTATCGGTGTTATGGTTTGGATGTGACGTGTCCCCCAAAAGTTCACATGTAAGATAAATGCAAGAAGGTTCAGAGGAGAAGTGAGTGGATTGTGAAAATCTTAACCCAATCAGTGAATTAATCCTCTGATAGGGATTAACTGAGTGGTAAATGAAGTGGTAGAGTGTTTCTGGAGGAGGTGGGCATTGGGGGTGTGGCTTTGGGGTATATATTTGTATCTGGCAAGTGGAGACCTCTCTCTGCTTTCTGATCATCATGTGAGCTGCTTTCCTCCGCCACACTCTTCCTCTGTGATGTTCAGCCTCACCTTGAGTCCTAAGGAATGGAGCTGACTATCTATGGACACAGACCACTGAAACCATGAGCCCTCAAATAAACTGTTCCTCCTCTATCATTGTTCTGGTCAGGTCTTATTCACAACAGTGAAAAAGCTGACTAAAACAACCAGTCAACAAATATGTGAAAAAATGTTCAACATCTCTAGCAATTAGAAAAATGCAAATTAAAACTACATTGACATTTCATGTCACTCCAGTCAGAATGGCAATAATCAACAATACAAATAACAATAAGTGTTGGTGAGGATGTGGGGAAATGGGTACACTCATACATTGCTGGTGGGACTACAAAATGGTGCAACCACTATGAAAAGCAGTATGGAGATTCCTCAGAAAACTTGGAATGGAACCACTATTTGACCCAGCTACCCCGCTCCTTGGCAGGACTTAAAATCAGCATACTACAGTGACAAAACCACATCAATGTTTACAGCAGCTCAATTTACAATAGCCAACCTATGGAACCAACCTAGGTGTCTTTCAATAGATGAATGGATAAAGAAAATGTGGTGTATAGAATATACTCAGCCATAAAAAAGAATGACTTTATCACTTTTGTCAGAAAATGGATGGATCTGTAGACTTTCTAAGTGAAATAAGCTAATTCTAAAAAAAAAAGGTTGAATGTTCTCTCTGATATGTGGATGCTAACATACAACAAGTGTGGTGGGGGAGAATAGAAGTTCAGTGGATTAGACAGAGGGGAATGAAGGGAAGGGAGGGGGATATGAAATAGGAAAGACAATAGAATGAATCACAAATAACTTTCCTATGTTCATATATGAATATACGACCAATGAAACTCCACATGATGTTCAATCACAAGACTGGGATCCTAATTAGAATAAGATGTACTCCATGTTTAATATATCAATATATACTGTCCTGACATATATATCTAAAAAGAACAAATTTAAGAAACTTCTTGTACAACATTAAAAAAAAAAGACGAAGAAGTACAGGAAGTTCCTAATCCCACCAAATGTCTTAGAATAGGAGCCAGAAATGTATGGATTTCCTCTGGGAAGTAGAGCTCCTTATTAGGCTCTTTCCTCTCCCTCAGCCCTACTGGTTAGGAGTAACCTAGAAAAGTGAACACAGGAGCCAACCACAGGATTTTATAGTTACCAGAGAAAGCAAACTGAACTTTTCCTGGAAAGACTAAAAATTGAGTAGAGGAAATGGAACTCCTTTCTCTACCTCTCCTTCCCCAACCTCTGCAACCCTATTCTTCCCTTCCTGTACTCTGACAGCCAACATGTCCTCTCTGTACCAAATGTGCACATTATTAAGGAAGACTGAGAAATTTTCAATTCTCCTGTGTTTTAGAAGGGGTTTATCACAGACATCTTCTAATTAACATCTGGAGTTAATAAGCTCCTTTTGCCTCAACATCTGCCCCAATCAGTGCCAGGCCTGGCCCTACTAACCCAGAATCTTCCTGAAGAGGAAACATGGTTGGACCTTGGACCAGGAGAAGAGATCCTTTGGCACTGATTGGTAGGTGGCCATACACTCCTTTGCTGTTAGCTAGGGTAAGGACAGCTCTTTGGAAAATTAAAACACATTTTGGCTTCATGTTCTCCTTCTGTCAAGTATCTAGACCCAGCACAAAGTAGTTCAGTCAATTTACCCTTTGGTCATCCTTTTAATATCTTCCTTTTCTATGGTATGATGCTAGTTTCCCCACTTCCTTTCCTGTTGATAAGGAAACACTTGAGGAAAGAGACAGAGCAGGACAGTTGTCTTATTGGACAAAGGAAAACATTGGCTGTTATGTGTGAGCATCACCCGGAGGCTATGTAGGCCCAGGTTTCATCAAATAGTTGGTGGAAAGGCTGCTGCTCTGGGGTCAAATACACTCTGAAACTATCTGGGAAGATGTCAGCCTGGAATTCCAGGAAGCTGCATTCAGTCAAAAGCTGGAAAGGCACGTAGTCTCGGGAAATCTCCAGCAGAAGCATCTCTTGGTAGGAAAAGTTGTTCTTGGGGGGAGGCTTCTGTGCCAGGAAGTACTGCAACAGGGCATGAGACCCCATATTGGCTGTTGAGATTTTAATTCTCTGAGTGTATCAAAGTGGCTTATGTGGCCATTCCTGAGAGTGCTTCTGCAGCTGTTACTTTCCTCAAAAACCTCATCACATAAAAGCTGTTGTGGCCAACATTTTTGTCAACTTGAACGTTCCAGGAGTGGAATTTCAGATATTCCCTGCAGCCCCCCTCCCATCATCCCTTCTGAAATTTGCAATGTCTTAACTTTTATAGAAAATAGAACGTGGGTTAGGGGACCTGGGGCATAGCTCAGGGATAGAGCATGTGCTTAGCATGCATGAGGCCCTGGGTTCAATCCTTAGCACTGTACACACACGCACACACACACACACACACACACACAAAAGTACATGGACTTTGGAATTGAGTCTGAGGTCCTAGCCACAACATAGATTGGCTCTTTGAAGAAGTTCCCCACTTCTTTGAGACTCAGTTTCTATGTCTGTAAAATGGGGATAATAGTAATATATACTTTGGTGTGTTGTTACAAGTATTAAATAAAATGATACATGGAAAGTACTTACCACAGTGCCTTTTATATAAAAAGTCTCAATAAATATTAGCTGTTATTTAAATGTTAGAGTTTAAGTAGCTGTCAATCATTCCATTGTTTTGGCTAATAAACAGTGTTATTTCTAGGACTGGGGATGTGGCTCAAGCAGTAGCGTGCTCGCCTGGCATGCGTGCAGCCCAGGTTTGATCCTCAGCACCACATACAAACAAAGATGTAGTGTCCGCCGAAAACTAAAAAATAAATACTAAAAAAAAAAAAAAAAAAAAAAAAAAAAAAAAAAAACAGTGCTATTTCTATTGATAGGCATTGGTTGTACATATTTACATAACTTGTAAGAATCACATGGTTCACTGAAAAGCATTTGGGATTGGGGCAGGAATTCTGGGTTCAAGTCTCAACTCTTTCTCCCCACCTCCCCTGGCATCAATTGATCCTGTGGTCTTGACCAAGACATTTCATCTCTCTGAACTTCAGGGTTTTTGAAAATCTAAAATGGGAATAATAGCATCTTTCCTATCCACCTTACAGAGTTATTGAAAGAATCAAATGTACCTCTATGTGAAAAATCACTTTGTAAACTGCAACTTTCTATGCAATACTTGGGAGAGATCATCTTGCTCTCCTTTGATACATGAGAAGATTAAAAAAAAAAGATGCCCTGGTCTTCAGAGATTTTTTTGTAAAAAAAATTAAGATGTATTTTGGATGAAGCCATCAGAGGTAGCTCAAGAGACATAATAAGAAGGAAGCAACCTTAGGGAAATATAACATAATCTTCATTAGCTGTTATACTTTAGTTATGGAATACCCCCCAATATGTCATATGTTGAAGTCTCAGAACCCAGCTGGCAGCACTACCAGGAGGTGGTAGGTTCTTTGGGAGTTAGGGCCTAGTTGGAAGAGGTAGGTCACTAGGGTGTGCCTTCAAAGGGTATATTTTGTTCCTGGATCTTTCCTATTTCTCTCTCTGCTTCTTGGCTGCCATAGGTGAGCAGCTTTGTTCTGCCACACCATCCTCACTGTGATGTTCTGCCTTAGCACAAGCCCACAGTGAAGGGGCCAAGCAACCATGAACTGAAACCTCCAAAACTGAGAACCAAAATCAATCTTTCCTCCCTTTAATTGTTCTTTTCAGGTATTTTGTCACAGCAATGAAAAGCTAACACATTTACCAATATAATGGAAACAGCACTGAGAATCCAGATATAAACCCATTCATCCATAAACAATTTTCAACAAGGGTGCCAAGAAATTCAATGGGAAAAGAAGAATCTTTTTAACAATGGTTCTGAGAAAACTGTATCCACATGCACAATAATAAAAAGTTGCGCCTTATTTCACACCGTACAAAAATTAAGTAAAAATGGACCAAAGGCCTATATAAGACCTAAAACTATAAAACTCTTATTTACACAGGAGTAAATCTTCATGATCTTAGATTACATAATTAGATGTGACACTAAAAAAATGAATATCAAAAGAACTAATGGACAAAACTAAACATCATCAAAAAAACATTAAAGTTGTTCATCAATCTGTACATGGTGGAGAACAGTTCAGGATGGTGAGGCAGGAGGATTGCAATTTCAGAGCCAATATTGGCAACTTAGAAAAAGGAATCTTTATACACTGTTGATGAGAATGTAAATTATTACAGCCACTATTGAAAATAGTATAGCGGTTCCTCAAAAAACTAAAAGTAGTAATTTCATATGATCAACCACTCCTAGTTATATACCTGAGGAAAATGAAGTCATCACACAAAAGAGATACCCAGTTTATTATGTTATTGAAGCACTATTCATAATAGCCAAGATAAGGAATCAGCATAGATGAATGGATAAAGAAAATATGGTATACATATACACAATGGCATATTATGCAACCATAAAGAAGAATGAAATTTTGTCTTTTGCATGAAAATGTGTGGAACTAGAAGATATGATGTTAAGCAAAATGAGTCAGACTCAGAAAGACAAGTATTGCATATTTTCTCTCATATGTAGAAACAAAAAGATGATCTGAAAGTAGAAAAGAAACTATTAGGAACTAGAAGGGGCTGGTGGGAGTGGGAAGAGAGAGAGAAAGGGGAGAAATTATGTAGAACAACAGAGAAGGGAAGGTGGACAGGATCAATTCACGATAATACATGCATGGAAATGTCACAGTGAAACTCATTAATTTGTACAATTAATATATGTTAATAAAAATGGTAAAAAAGTTAAAATGGTAAATTTTAACACAATAAAAATGTTTCCCATGATAAAAAAAAATGTTATCTAATTCAGTCCTTCCACTTGAATTTCAGACTGTCCATCCTAATTCATAAATAGGGGCACTCTTCGTATATTCATAAGCTAACTCCATAAATCAATGATCATTCATCTACTGACTACCAGTCTGTGGTTTAACTTTGGTCCAATACATTTTATTTATTTATTTACTTATTTACTTACTTATTTATTTATTTATTTTATGTGGTGCTAAGGATTGAACCCAGTGCCTTACAAGTGCTAGGCAAGCATTCTACCTCTGAGCTACAGCCCCAACCCCTAATCTATGTTTTTGACATATATAACTGAAGGCTGCTTCTCTTCACAGGATCATTTAACTTTGATATGAGTTTTATTCCGATTGATCAATTATCTTTATTATAAATTATGTTTTGGTTTACTTTGTTTACAAACTTAAGTGTTCTAAACACTACATCACTTCAAAAGCCCTTCCAAGTTCCACAACCAATTAAATCAAATACACATTAATTTGAGAATGAAAGAAATGATATGGGCAGAATCTATTAATTTTCCAGTTGTTGATAGATATTATTTGGTTGACAAACCTAAACATAAGAAATGCATACACCCATGCTATTTCATGTTTCAGCTGATTTTTCATATGGATATGTGTCTATCTAACAATACTACACGCCCTAACCTTTGAGGTTTTGTGGTTTTTTTTGGGGGGGGGATTTGCAAGTGTATAGGCTTTGCTTCCCTTAACCATCTCTATTTTTTTAAGTATGAATTCTTTTTTTAATTTTTTAGTTGTAGTTGAACACAATATTTTATTTATTTATTTATATGTGGTGCTGAGGATCGAACCCAGGGCCTCACACATGCTAAGTAAGTGCTCTACCACTGAGCCACAACCCCAGCCCCACCATCTCTATTTTTATTTTGATAAAATAACCAAGAACATCTGTAAACTATTTTTTTCTGACATACTGTCCTGCATTGCTTATGAATTAAAATGGTGATGATTATTTGGTTTATAGAATTGGATGGAAAGTGTAAACCACCATGCAAATCAAAAGTTCAGAATGACAGCTCCATCTCCAAACTATCACTCTGACTTCCCTCCTCGTGTTTAGCTACAGCAGGAGAAATTGCACACAAGAAGAAATTATGTCTCTGATGGGTTACCAACCCCACAATGCCCCCTTCAGGAGGGGCCTAATACTTTCTTTGCTGCCAAGATCTTGTGTGATGAAGCCTTCATTTGTGGGTTCATAGGTAGCTCATCATCACCAGACATTTCTTCCAAGTCCTTATTTGTGCCAGAACGGATAAGAGGTGGGCTGATGCTGGGCTGGCGCGGGCGCAGTGGTGGGATCTGACAAAGGGGGGGATAGAAGAGAAAAGTTGGAATGTGTACTTTCCCCTAAGATATTGGTATTTTCTTGTTCCTTAATTGCTGAAGGACTAAGAAGCCAAAAAAAATGGAAAAAATAGATAGACCCAGGAAACAATCTCCTATCTCTCTGACCTCACTTCTAGGACCAACTTAAATCAAAGGCTAACAGCCTTGGTTTATCCTCTGGATTGCTGCACACATTTGACAAACCCCAAACAGAAACTTCACATTGCTTGTTTGATCAAAACTGAATTCTGGTGTTATCGCATTACTGATGCTAACTACAAATCTTTTTTGATTTTGATCTTTGTTTGAACTTCAGCCATGCCTTTGGAAGCTCAATTCTTGTGGAAGTGACTTTTTGAGTTATGATCTGGAATTGGCATCCAAACTTCTATCCTTGCTCTTGTTATTCTAGGAATTGTCTAGACTACATCTTGGCTATTTGTTCCTTATCTTATCTCTGTCCAGATTGATTTTTCTGGGATTTTTTTTAAAAGAAAATCTATAGACCTAGGGCTTAGAGGAGTCACTCAGCAGTAGAGTAGTTGCCTAGTATGTGTGAGGCCCTGGGTTCAATCCTCAGCAGAGAGAGAGAGAGAGAGAGAGAGAGAGAGAGAGAGAGAGAAGGAAGAAAGGAAGGGAGGGAAGGAGGGAGGGAGGGAGAAGAGGGAGAAAAAGAGGAATGAAGGAAACAGAAAGGAAAGAAAATCTAGTTCTGGTTTTCTAAGGGAATAAAAATTTGTCATTTGAATTTTCTTTGTGTTTTGGCAGACTAACTTAGTTAATCCCAGTTTGAAGATGATGGGACACTTGACTTCAAGGCACTGTTTTTTTTCCAGGGTCCTCTTGATGTGGTTTAGAATCCATGATTTTATTTTAAACAAATGCTGTATAAGCATCTACAATGTGTTACACCCAATCCTAGGAGCTGGACCTACAACAACAAACAAAGCAAGATTCTTTCTTTTATGAAGTTAACATGCTTGTTTCTGTTGTAGGCTCTGCCAGGCTCAGGATGCATAACCTTCAGACACTGTAGCCAAAGAAAAATGGCAACAGGGGAGGCCTGCCAAAGTTTTGCCTCTGAGTTTCTTTAGATCAGGGTCTCCAGTGCACCCTTATTACTACCAAGTTCTATTGGGGGCTCTTGAGAAGAGGCCAAATCAACCATCTCCAAACCCAGTACCAATAATAATAATTATAAATAATGACAAATAACTTTTACTAATCGGTTACAATGTACTTATCTGGGAAAGCTCTCCATATATGTATGTCTTAAAGTTTCACAATTCTTTGAGGTGTTTGCTAGTGTGGTCTCCATTTTATATATGAGGATAACAAACATTGAGAAATGATGTAATTGGCCCAAATTCTCTCAGTGGCAGGGCACGCATTTGAAAGGTCTGTCCAGCTGGAGAGCCCGTGTTCTTAACCACTCTAGTCTTTGTGCACGCTAGTGTGTGACCTATAAGAGCTGGGAAGGGGAGATCCCATACAGAAGGCCAAATTAAAAAGAATCAACCAGAACAGATGGTGTGCCTGCCTCCTTAAGAAGAGCCACAGAGGGCAAATTGGACCTGAGAATAATAAGCAACACTGCTTTGTAGTCTTGGTTTCTTAAATAACTGAATTCAATTTGATTACATAGCAGAAAGATACTATTAATATGCTGTCACATCTTCTTAACCATGTGTGCTCAAATAAAGAGAACAGAAAATGCCATAGAGAATAATCTATGAATCCACATTCCTAACACTTCAGAGAAGGCATCAGGTAAATATCTGGCAGGGAATAAAATTGTCTCAGTCTTGGTATTTCTGACTCAACTACAAACCTTAGTTTCCTCTCTCAGAAGCCTCTAATTGCAATCAGGTGTGGTGGCATATACCTGTAATCCCAGCCGCTCAGGAGATTGAGGCAGGAGGATCATGAGTTCAAAGCCAGCCTCAGCAATTTATCAAGGTCCCAAGCAAATCAGTGAGATCCTGTCTCTAAATAAAATATGAAAATGGCTAGGAAAGCCTGGGGTTGTGGCTCAGTGGTAGAGTGCTTGCCTAGCATGTGTGAGGCACTGGGCTCAATTTTCAGCATCACATATAAACAATAAAATAAAAGTCCATTGGTAATTTAAAAAAAAAATTTAGAAAAAAAGGCTAGGAATATGGTTCAATGTTTAAGTACCCCTGGGCTCAATCCTTGGTACCAAAAAAAAAAAAAAAAAAGCCTCTAGTTACTCAAAATGTCATCTATAATTCATTATGGGGAAGGCCCCTTCAAGGGACTCAGCCACTGGCCAATTCCCTACTTGCCCCAGCTTCTATGTAGCACTGGGTGTCAGGAACCTTGGCTTAATGCTATCAACTACCCTGCATTTAGAGTTGTCGCATTGGCACTTAACTGGAAGTTTCCCATGTAGAGGTCAATATAATTGTTGATGGCTCAGGATTTATTGATATCCTCTGCTGTCTTCAGTCCTGTTTACCAGCAGAAAGCCTAAGGGAACAGGCCAAGGTCCTAAGCATTGGCCCAAACCAAACATTAAAGAAAACCTGCCTTTGGGCTACTGTGACTGTAGTTTCCCCCACCCACTTCATGGTGAGAAGCAATGCCCCTAGAATCTTTGTTCCTTAATTTTCACACACACACACACACAAAAAAAAAATCACTCTTTGAAAAAAATGGAATATCTCTGTTGTATGGAACTCTCAGTTTCTGGGATTAATAGAGGAGGTGGAAACTGGGTGCAGTGGCTTATGCTTGTAATCCCAGAAGCACAAGAGGCTGAGGCAGGAGGATCATGAGTTCAAAGCCAGCCTCAGCAAAAGTGAGGCACTAAGCAACTCAGTGAAACCCTGTCTCTAAATAAAATACAAAATAGGGCTGGGGATGTGGCTCAGTGGTTGAGTGCCCAGAGTTCAATTTCCTGTACCAAAGAGAGTGAGAGGGAGAGAGAGAGAGAGAGAGAGAGAGAAGGAAGGAAGGAAGAGGAGGAGGAGGAGGAGGAGGAGGAGGAGGAGGAGGAAAGGGAGATGTCCAGGAAACAGGTATTGTCTTTTGCAAATGTAAGAAATAACCCTGTGACATTTGGTCATGGTCATGAGGAGGCAGGAAGTGTAACTGTGAAGGCAAGTGAAAGCTGGTATTGATATTTAAAGTTGAAGACTGAAAAGTGCATGGAAGTGACTTCCTGCTATTATGCAAGATGGCAACAGTCTGCTGACCCTAGGGGCTTTACAACCATAAATTCATCACCATTGGTAACTATTTCAGTGTTTTCTTCTCCACCCTCCAGGCCTAAAAAACCTAGCAGAACTTCCATGCACTGTACAGAAACTATGGCAATTTGTATGGGGACTCAGGCAGATATGTCATAAATAAGTCAAATTTACTATTTGCCAAATGCAAAGTAATCAGGTCTCCAGTAGAAAAGATGTCCTTCTTGTGTGGCCTTCCCAGTTACATAGGAATTTTTTTAATATTTATTTTTTAGTTTTAGGTGGACACAATGTCTTTATTTTACATTTATGTGGTTCTGAGGATCAAACCCAGTGGCTCATGCATACTAGGTGAGCACTCTACCACTGACCCAAAACCCCAGCCCCAGGAATTTTTTTTTTAACATGGAAATCTTTAGGCATAATCCCACACATAACTGAGAAAAAGAAGATGTAGCTGCTATGGGTTAATGCCTCAGCAACCCTTAGCAGCTCCATCTGGGACATTTCTGAATCAGAGCTCCAGAAGCATCTGACTGAGCAACGGATGCCTACTATATGATTAGGATTAGGGGGCTGGAGATATAGCTCAGTTGGTAGAGTGCTTGACTCACATACGCAAGGCCCTGGTTTAAATCCCCAGCATCACACACACACACAAAAAAAAAAAAAAAAAAAAAAACAGGTTAAGATTAGCAAGAAGCAAGAGATCATTCTATATACATCCTGTATTTTATTGGGGCTAAAGCTGTACCTTTTACAAGCAGATACAAAGAGGTTGGGCATCTTAGAAACTGGGATAAAGAAAATACCTCAGTTAACACATCTTAGTCAGATTTTCAAGTCTACAACTTATTATTTAGGTAATCTTGAATGATTTCCTTAACTTTTCTGAGTCTCCAACCAAGTAATTCTTTGATGTAGATATTACATATTATGCCCATTGCAGATTAGAAAAGGAAATCTCTTATACTCGTTGTAGATTAGAAAAGGAAACCTCAGCAATTAGCCCATAGTCACATAGTAAGTAGCAAAGGGATAAATCAAGCACAGATCTGTCTGTCAGACTTATCTGCCCATGCACGGAACAATTTCACCCTATTACCTCAGTGATCTTGGAATCTGCAACCCAGACTCCACTTCTGGGTACATATCGAGGGACAACTCCAAACTTAGCTCCAGATAAAGCTCCATGTACATTACTAGTCCCAATTCTAGGCAGAGTTCTGGAAACATGACTTCTCTGTGGAAGAAAGAGAAAAACTTGGGGGTTGGTATGCTGGCACATAAACAGTGTACTGTAACTTCTAAAACTTCGAAAACTTCATAACTTTGTGTATGTGTGAAGAGAAGTAAATATATATTAACCAACACCATGTGCTGGGCTATAGGTAAGCATGTCACATTTAGTCATTCAATACTCACAACAGTTCTATAGAGTAGAATTAGTTGAGAAGCAGAGGTAAATTCCTCCCTCCTTTTGCAGGGAATGGGCAGAGTAGGAGTAGGGAATGGAAAAATAATAGGCCCATTAGGCACTAATTCCCAAGTCCACCATTACCTGCAGAGATCTGCCTCTCTGGGATTCCAAAGAGGGGTGCATTTTGCCTGTTGATCTTTCAATCTCAGGATCCAACATAAAGATGCTATCATGGGGTAGGGCTTTGTTCCCCATGTTGCCCTTGATCCTGAACAGAAAGGAAAGGTCTTGTAAAGCAGGCAATGGGCCACAGGAACAGAAGACAAATGTATACTCACAATATGGCCTACCATAGATACCTCAGAAAGAGTGTTGAGGATGCATACATGGTGACACCGAAAGCTCTTCTTAAGGTATTAAGTGAAAAAAATAAAGAATATCATTCTTTATGTTTTTAATATATACACATATATTGCATACATATATAGTTTATGTTCAAAGAAAAAAGTCTGGGAGGACATTTCCTCTGAGGAATGGTACTAGGGACAGGAGGGGAATTGTCATTTTCTATTTTATGTACTTTTATATAATTTTAATTTTAAAAATTATAAACATGTCATATATATGATACTTTTATTGAGGTATGTATTACATATCACACAATTCGCCCATCTAAAGTACACAATATAATAGTGACAATTATAGGGACTGAAAAGGTTATTAAAGATCTTTCACACCCAATTGCTCTCTAGTGTTTTTGTTTTGACTTTTTTTTCAATAGCAAAGATCTTCCCAGATGTAAGAGGCTTTCATTTATCATTTTTTCCTCTTTCACACAAGGGTTCTGTGATACATCTGTCCTATTTTCAAACTCATCTTATGTACCATCCATTCCTTCCCTCTCCAGTTTGCGTCCCCCAATTGGAAATACATTCTGATTAGGAATGGAGCCAGGTCAACCACAATTATGTGTTAGGAGAAATCAAGGAAAATCTAGAAACAAATGAAATCTAAATGTCTAAAAGACTCCTTTTGGGTTGTGGTAATAATTTATTTTACCTTTAAAATTTATCCAAAGGCATCACAAAAAGTGAAAACTACAGACCAAAATATCTAATGAATAGATATCTAAAAACACTCAATAAAATATCAGCAAATTGAATCCAGTAACATGTAAAAATAGTTACATGCCATGACAAAGTAGGATTTGTGAGGAATGCAAAGTTAGTTTGACGTGAAATATAATGCATGTGATACACTACATCAATAGAATAAAAACAAGAATCACATGATTGTTTCAATAGATGCAGAAAAAACATTGTAAAATCTGACACCCTTTTCTGATAAGTGCATGCCAACTTGATAGAAGACATTTATGACAAAACCACAGCAAACATCATACTTGGTGGTGAAAGAGTAGATGCTTTTTCCCTAAGATCAAGAACAACACAAGGGTAACTGCCTTTGCTACATCAACAGTGTATTGGAATTTATGGCCAGGGATATTAAATAAGAAAATTAAATTTAAAAAAAACATTCAGAATATAAAGGAAGAGTGAAATTATCTCTATTCACAGATGATGCAATTTTGTAAATAAAAACTCTTAAGGAATTCACTAAAAACTACTAGAACTAATAAATTAATTCAGCAAGGGTGCAGGATATAAAATCAGTATACAAAGTTGTATTCTATTGATTGGCAATGAACAATCTGAAAATAAAATTAAGAAAATATTTCCACTTATATTAGCATCATAAAGAATAAAACACTTAGGAATAAATTTAACAAAAGACATGCAAAATGTACCCTGAAAACTATAAAGCATTATTGAAATAACTTAAAGAAAGCCTAAATAAATGGAAGGACATCCCATGTTCATGGATTGGAAGGTTTAATCTTGTCAAGATGGCAATACTCCACAAATTGATTGACAAATTCAATGAAATCCCTTTTGGAACTCCAGGTGAAAGGTAGTATAGCACTGGCATAAAGATAGACATATAGATCAATGGAATAGAGAGTCCAGACATAAACCCATAATCTATAGTTATTTGGTTTGCAACAAGGATTCCAAGACCATTCAATGGGAAAAGAACAGTCTTTTCAACAAATTGTTCTGGTGCAACCTGATATCCACATGCAAAAAAAGAAAATGAAGTTGCACTTTATCTCATACTATATATAAGAATTAATTCCGGCTGGGAATGTTTCTGAGTGGTAGAGCACTTGCCTAGTATGCATGAGGCCCTGGGTTCAATCCCCAGCAATACACACACACACACACACACACACACACACACACACACATACACACACCTCAAAATGGGCCAATGATCTAAATATAATAGCTAGAACTATAAAACTCTTAGAGGAAACCCTAACAGTAATCTTCATGATCTTGAATTTCACAATGGATTCTTAGACATGACACCAAAGCTCAAGGAACAACAACAAAAAATAGATAACTATATTTCATCAAAATTAAAAACAGTGTTGGGGTTGTGACTCAGTGGCAGAATGCATGCCTTGCATATGTGAGGCATGGGGTTCGATCCTCAGCACCACATACAAAATAAATAAAAATAAAGACATTTTTAAAAATTAAAAACATTTGTGTTTCAAACGTTACTAGCAAAGAGCTACTTTGGATGGATAGTAGAATGAATCAGATATTATTACCCTATGTGCATATATGACTACACAGTTGGTATGATTCTACATCATGTACAACCATAAGAATGAGAAGTTATACTCCATTTATGTATGATGTGTCAAAGAATATTCTAGTGTCATGTATAAATATTTAGAACAAATTAAAAAATGAAAATAAAAAGACAACCTACATAATGGGAAATATAATTGCAAACTATATATCTGATAAGGGATTTGCATCCAGAATATATAACAAACTCTTACTATTAAGAACTCTTACCAATAAGGACATTTATTATTAAATTCTTAAGTAATTCAATAATAAAAATATAAATAACCAATTAAAATGAAAATTATCTAAATAGGCATTTTTCAAAAAAAACACAAATTGGCTAACACACATGAAAAGATCCTCAACCACATTAATAAGCAAGGAAATTCAAATCAAAACCATAATGAGATACTATTTTAAAATGTCTAGAATAGATAAACTCAAAGCTTCAGATAATTATTATTGGCAAGGTCATGGAGAATTTTGAACCCCCATATATTGCTAATGAGAGTATAAAATGGTACAGCCACTTTGGAAAACAGTCTGGTGGTCTCTCAAAAAGTTAAGCATATAACTATCATTTGTCCCAGGAGTTCCACTCATAGTATATACCCAAGAGAAATAAAAACATATATTACCCCAAAACTTGAATATAAATATTCATAGCAACATTATTCATAATAGCCAAAGGGTGGAAACAACCCAAATATCCATCAACTGATAAATAGATAAAATATGATATATTCATGGAATGGTATACTATTTGGTAGGAAAAGGAATGAGGTTCAGAGGCATGCCAAAACATGGATGAATCTTGAAAACATTAAAAGAGTGAAAGAAGCCAGTCAAAATAGGTCAGGTATTGTATCATACCCTTTATGAGAAATGTCCACAATAGGCAAATCCATTGAAACAGAAAGCAGACTAATAGTTGGTAAGAGGAGGGGGGCATGAAGAATTATTGCTAGTGGGTACAGGGTTTCTTTGGGGAGTGATAAAATGTTCTAAACTTGGGGAATCATAATGGCTACTACACACGTAAAAGGTAGGATTTATAGCATGTGAATTCTATTCCAATAAAAATACAAAATTATGAAGCTATTCCTATTAGGTGGGGAAGATGCATATATACATAGCAAAGATGACATTAAGCATGAAAAGAAGGCAGGGGGGCTGAGGATGTGGCTCAAGCGGTAGCGCGCTCGCCTGGCATGCATGCAGCCCGGGTTCGATCCTCAGCACCACATACAAACAAAGATGTTGTGTCCGCCAAAAACTAAAATAAATAAATAAATAAATATTAAATATTCTCTCTCTCTCTCTCTCTCTCTCTCTCTCTCTCTCCCTCCCTCCCTCCCTCCTCTCTCTATCAAAAAAAAGGAAGAAAGGAAGGGAGGGAAGGGGTAAGAAAGGATGGGAGGAACGGAGAAGGAGTAGGAGGAAGGGGGAGGGAAAAGAAAGCGAGCAAGCTACATGCTACAACATGGACGACCCTTGAAAAGATGCCAAGTGAAATAAAGATGACCTTTGTATTATTCCACTTATATGAAATGTTGAGAATTAGTGAATTTACAGAGGAAGAAAATAGATTCGTGGTTCCTTAGGGATGGGGATAGAGGGAAATGGGGACTGATGGTTAATGGTATAAGGTTTCTTCAGGGAAGGATGGAAATGATTTAAAATTAGATAAAATAAATTTGTTTAAACTTGAGTACTTTTATGCTTATTACCTTCATTACAAAACAATAACTGTAGGTTGGCACTTTTAAAAATCTGTCTACAAATAGTAACTAGAGAAACAATTTGGATATTATAGGGCTGGCATTAGCCCTGTCCCTGTAAGCCTATCTGGTTGTGGGGCCTGCACACAGGTGTGCTTAATCCCTACAAAACTCAGCTATCCAAATAGCCCTGATAATAAAGGAAACACACTCTGCTTTACTAAAACAGCAGTCCAGGAAAAAAAAGTAAGGTGACTATCTGGGTTAACACTTAATGGGCATATGTAACTGATCTAGCACTGACAGAAGACTGTTTTCACACATGTATATACCCACATAGACTCATTATGCATACATATCATTCATTCAGTGCTGCTCTATGGCCTGCTGGCTCCAATCAGGCTGAGAACCAGTATAACATCTGTGACTACCTTGCCTTCTGTGTTTTGTGCAGAAAAACCCAAAGGAAATCTCAGGCTACAAGTGGGCTTAGAAAACTCTCTCATTTCCATGCTGTGCATCAGCCAGAGTGAAGCTGTGGAACTGGTCCTATAATGCCAAACTCTTCCTGATCAAGAGATGACATTAATATCAGCTGTGGCCTAGTTTGTCAGAAACCAAAATTCTGGGCTGGGGTCATAGCTCAGTGGTAAAATCCTTGCCTGGCGTAATGAGGCACTGGGTTTGATCCTCAGCACCACATAAAATTTTTTTAAAAAAAATATTGTGTCCATCCACAACTAAAAAAATACTAAAAAAAGAAACCAAAATCCTTCCCCCCAACATATCTGGTATTCATTGATCTGCTCTCTGGAGGAGGAGGAAGAGGAGGAGGAGGAGGAGGAGGAAGTGGAGGAGGAGGAGGAGGAGGAAGTGGAGGAAGTGGAGGAGGAGGAGGAGGAGGAGGAGGAAGTGGAAGAGGAGGAGGAGGAAATGGAGGAGAAGGAGGAGGAAGTGGAGGAGAAGGAGGAGGAAGTGGAGGAGGAGGAGGAGGAGGAGGAAGAGGAGGAGCAGGAAGCAGAGGAGGGGGAGGAAGAGGAGGAGGAGGAGGAGGAGAAGAAAGAGGAAGAAACTACAACTCCAAACAAAATCTCAACCTTAATTAAGAGCAATAAAGAACATTACAACACCCATTAAGATATCAAATGAAGAATGGGATTTGTCTATTCTATCAGATACATCTTAATGTAGTCTTGGAAATAGATACTAGTTCTATTGTACAGATCAAGAGAAAGCTGCCAATACGTTTGGTTATAATTGGTTGTTTCAGTAGATGAAAAATGAAGCTAATCTCCCTAAATTCTTCAGGATTTCATCCCTAGCACATTAGGCAAGATATTGGGGTTGGGGGTGATCTTCAGAACCTAAGGTTATGTTCTTTTTTTTTTGAGAGAGAGAGAATAATACTTCTTTTAATATTTATTTTTCAATTTTCGGTGGACACAACATCCTTATTTTATTTTTATGTGGTGCTGAGGATCGAACCCAGTGCCCTATGCGTGCCAGATGAGCGCGTTACCACTTGAGCCACATCGACAGCCCTCTTTTTGTTCATTTATGCTCCTTACAAAAGGATATCAATCTCTTTCCCTTTCTCTCTCCCACTCTCATACACACACACTTCTTGTTCTTAAAGAATCTTTTTTCACAATAGTTTCATGCCTCACATGTGCTACGCAAGTGCTCTACAACTGAGCCACAACCCCAGCCCACACACACTTCTTAATATGGAGAATACATCAGAGTAAATGGATCATTTGGAGCAGAAATTGCAAGTAAGAAGGGGAGATTGTAGAACTTTGGTAGAGACAGTCCAATAAATTTTCAGAGACAATGAAAGTAAACCTGGACACCCCTTCCTCCTCACTGGTATTTAGCAAGGCCAGTGTTAGTCTTACTTATAGTTATGGTCTATAAAGCAATGGTCTATAATGTCATTACTTATGAGATATGGAAGAAGCCTCTGTATCCAAAACCATCTCTTGCATGGCAAGGCTACCACAAAGTCCTTACTCTGAATGCACTCTTTAAAGTCTTTCTTATGGAGCCATATATGTTATCAGACCATTATGTCACAAAAGTGTTGGAAGGAGGGATTAAGAGCAGCATAACATGGTAGCTAGCTGTCCCACTGCCATCAAGCAAGCCTTGAGAAAATGAATGGCAGCACTGGTAAGTTCTGTTTGGAGTCCAGGAATTCTGCAGTTTAAGGCCAGGAGAACAGTCCCAAGAGAGCTTCATAGAAAAAGATTCAATGGATCCAGGGACAGCTGGGGGCACTAGATGCCCAGATAAAAAAGCACAATAAGATGTTAAAATTAGGGCACTGCAGATTAAAAAAAAAAAAAAACTAAATAGGAATGGCAGTGGTAGCTTAAAGTCTTCCACATATACCCTTTGTGACAAGTTAGTCTACTGGGGTGGAGGGAGCAAGGGATTGGGCTTGCTTGCTTGCTTATATACTTTTATGGCAATGCAAGGATTTTTATGCTCAAGTCCCACCCCCTCCAACTCCATGGTTTTAATATCTGGGATTTTAATCATTCATTTTGAGATCTGGCTCCCCTTGACTAGATTTTCAGCTTACAGTCCAGGCATGCAAACCAGACCAAACCTTCTGAATGACATAGGCCATACTTATGGTAAAAAATAGGCCCCTAATTCCTCATTAGCTGTAGGCCCCACATCTTGAGTTACTCTAGCTAGTACAGGAAGGGTTTCTGGATCTGTCTATACCCTCTAACCCAGTGCTCTTGAGGAATGGAGTGTGCGTTGACCATGTTCTAACCCACTGGGATGCTTAACCCAGACAACAAACATACATATGTGCACAAAAAAGAGGAGCTGGACACAGCTGCCTTGGCAATGGCTGCAAGCCCAACCCCTAGCACCATGGAGGCCAAGAGTCCCTGAGACCAAATATCCATTGGTAATTTGCCAAAGGAGGGTCTAGACATAGCTGTTTGCGCTTATCCCAACCCAGTCCCTTTGCCCACCCCTACCTGAGCTTACCTAGGTTCACCAGGTTGGTCATTGTCAACTTGCTTCAGAGAAGAGGTGTTAATATTGCTGTTGGACAAACATGGCTTTAAGAGTCTCCCTCCCTGTAGGTCATCAGGGTCTTTTTTCTTTTTCTTGCCAAAAAAGCTCCTAAAGGCTTTAAATTTGGATTTCTTTTTTCCTGAAAATGAGAAATGAAAGTGAGGCAAAGTGTGATAGAGGAAGGAAAGGTAGGAAAGGAGACAGAGCCTTCAAAACTGAAATAAACACTGTGGATCTCACCCCCAGGGCCCACTGCACCTCTCATTTGGTTTTTACCTCTCTTGGAAACTCAGTAACCAAGTATTTGAGATGCTGGCAAAAGAAGCAACCCAAACCATAGCTTTATGCAGCCTCTGTTGAAGTCAAACGAGGTATTCACTTGCTTCTCAATTTCAACCATTAATTAATATGCACACTGATAAATCCAAACCAATCAGCAACAGTTGAACAACACACAGAGTAGTGAACGCACACACACCTCTTTCTTTTCCTAAGAACTTCGTTTGCCTGAAGTGATGATTGAGCCAATGGAAGCACTTGGCACCTCCCAGATACCACACTGGTAGCTGGAGTGACTGCAATCCAGTGGAAGAGCCAAGTTCACACATGTGAAAAACCACTTTCAAACCCTAAGAAATCTAAGCAGGAGCTGATACCACCCAGACTATGTGCTGAAAAAATGCAGACCTAAAGTGTGAGTGCCATTGGCTGGTATGGTGAATGAACACTTCCTTGAGGAAGGAGTTTATGAGCAAGAGAGAGGGCTGGGAATGGGAAAGAAGAAAGGGTCTTCCAGGTGAAGAAGCTGCCTGTGCAAAAGCTATGTCAAACTCAGGTAACAAAGGGCTTTTCAAAGTGTGTTTGTCTGTGTGTGTATGCATGTGTATGTGTGAGCGTGTGTACTGCTGTGCATGTTGTTCAACTATTGTTACTTGGTTTGGATTTATCTACACAATTGTTGCCCTTTGCATTTGCAGATAAATGAATGTTTGCTCCATCTATAACAAGTACCAGGGTAACAGTGAGAAATGCGAGCTTTAAATGTCCCTAAGGCTCTCTCTGTTTGGGCTTTCTTTAATTTCCTAATAAACACATGTACATATCTATATCAGCAGAAGAGAAGAAGGGGAGGGGACTCAACCTACATTCTTCAGAGGGAAAGAATTAGCTCTTATTTCTCTCAGTGCAATGATTTACCAACTCAGGTGTCTCATTTCAATATTCAGCAGTCTGGTCTCTGGAAGGCCTCACCAGCATAGCAGTGCTGCAGTGGTGGTGAGAGGTCTGTACTAGGGAGTTGTCAATATAGCTGCCATTTTGAAAAGTGTGATGGTATAATGGAAAGTAGCACCCAAGAATCTGAAATCTGGAATCCTAGGCTTGAATCTGATATCAGTAGCCTCTGTGACTTTACCCTGGGTAAGTTACTCAATCCCTATGGGACTCAGGAAAACGAGGGATTACACTGGCTCAGCATCTCCCAAAGTGTGTTCAGAGGCATGCTCTAAAATTTTGTTATGTGAAAAGGGGATCTGCCAACCAGGCAATCTGGGAAATGTTGAATTAGACAAAGTTCATTGCTTTCCAATAAGACTTTGCTGAAACTTCAAAATGCTAAAGTGTAGAAAAGGGAGGTCAGTTGAATAGAAAAAAGGTACCAGGGGATGGGAGGATGGGAGGAAGGAGGAAAGTGCTTGGGAGAGAGATATTGGCCAAATTATATTGTTATGTTATGTGCATGTACTGATAAATTACAACAAATCCCACCATTGTGTACAAATTAATGCACCAATAAAAGTGGAGAAAAAATAAAAATAAAATTTAAAAAATGTTTCTATGTTTAATGAAGAAACTGGGCAACAATATGGTCTCCCAAATGCACATAAGCAGAATATCTGGCAAAATGCAATTTTGGAAATGCTACCTAGGGTTCCCTCTAGCTCTGAAATGCTATGACCTATTTATATATTAATTACTCCTATTAGAAAGGTTTCTAAGCTGGGCATGGTGGCTCATACTTGTAATCCAAGTGACTCAGGAGGCTGAGGCCAGAGGATTTCAAGTATGTGGCCAGCCTCAGCAATTTAACAAGATCCTATCTCAAAAAGATAAATAAATAAAAAGGACTAGGGATGTAGCTCAGTGGTAGAGTACCCCTGGGTCCAATCCCCAGTACCAGGGGAAAGAAAAAGTCAATTTCCTAACCTTCAAGGATACCATTAAATCTAGTTTCCCACCAATCTGTACAATTCATGCCTCTTTTCTCTAGACAAATAAAACTTGACTGTTATCACAATGAGTTTTGCATCGGAATACTCTCTAGTCTGTCCACTAATTCATTCATCTATTCAAAAATATTTATTAAGGTCAAACACTTACTCTGTTCTGGGTGTCAATGAGAAAGGAATAAGATATGGTCCCTCTATCTTAGTTACTGTCCCCACATCTGGGTATATTTAAAATGACCTTTAACCTCACAAACCACCATGAGGATTTCATGTGAAAGTTCTAGGAGGTATACAGCACACAGTAGGCGGGTTCAAAATCATCTCTATTTTGCTCTTTGGCCTTCTATCTTAATCTCCTCACCTCCAAATGGTTTCTAAAACCTATGGAATTGTGAGGATTTTTGTAAAATGCTCATTAATATAATGACAATTTCACAGTTTGATGCTAAAAAATACTTCACAACAAACTCTCTGGGAAAATTCCTTGATACCTATTATTTGCCTATTGATGTGGTGCAAATACACTTCCACTATGACCAACTTGAAGCTACCAACATGACATTTGGGAAGGAGATGGGCCCCATCTCCCAAGCCAGCCTGAACCACCTCCAACACACTGGTAAGTAATTCCCACCCAAGGAGGATGAGTTGGGCAGAAGGTCTCTCACAAACAGAAAGCAGCATGCTACATTTTAACCTTGGGAGATACTGCCATTTTCCAAACAGAAGGAACAAGATTTATTGATTCTTAACAAGTGGGTATCCTCCAGGCCTCCGAACCATTATACTCAGAACATAGTATAAAGAATGGTCTGAACATTCACTAGGTTTGGAAACACAGTGACTATTGTCTCTCTTGCTTCAAACCCCCAGAATGGAAGAGAGGAGGGCAAAGCTAGAGAATTTGGCGTTGCAAACCTACTTCTCATAAATCAGCAAAGACAAAGAAAGGAGAATCAATAGCCAGTAGCTCCACAATTTATAATCACTGAATAGCTGAATAAAGCATTTCCAATTACCTCTTCAGGCTGTGAAACCAAATTTACCAAACATGATCATTGTACAAACAGACAAAACTATGCACTAAGATTTTTATGTTTCTGAATTAAGAAAATGACTTGTGACTGTAGCATGTACTAAAATTGAACATACATATATTCCAATTTTCTCCCAAGTTTTCATTCTTTGTTGATAAGAAAAAAAAGAACTTATTTCCCACAAGGATTCAAAACAGCTTAAGCAATGTGTGTCTTTTCAATCATGGCCCTAGAAGAAAAGAATGCTTCCATTCCATATAGTATGGAAGTCACATAGCTTTTGTAAGCATGGAGTTGGGCAACACAGAGAGAAGGTAACTGCCAAACATGGTGGATTAGCAGCTTGTTGATCCAGAGCAGTGAGATCACATCCTTAGTGAACAACCTGTTGCTGTGGCCAGGCATAATATGTCAGTTGCAGGAGTCTAAATCTTCATTTTTTTTTTTTACTTCTTTTCTCCCAGTACTGGGGATCACACCCAGGGCCTCACACATGCTAGGCAAGCACTCTACCACAAACCTATATCCCCAGCCTCTTCAGTTTGCTTTTGATTAAAACACCCCAGTAATCCTGACTTCAATAGGTCTCCAAGAATGGAGATGAGCTCTGCTCTCAGCTCTGGAAATGAGATGCAAATCTGGGAACAATCCACATGCTATGTTATTTATTTATTTTTTTTTTTGGTGGGGAGCAGGGTACTGGAAATTGAACCCAGGGGTGCTTAACCATTGAACCACATTCCCAACCCTTTTTATTTTTTATTTTGAGACATTGTCTCTCTAGTTGCTCAGAGCCTCACTAAGTTGCTAAGGCTGGCCTCAAACTTGCAATCCTCCTGCCTCAGCCTCCTGAACAACTGGGATTACAGGAGTGTGCCACCACACCCAGTACTATGCTGCTTTTGAAACCCTGATGGAATTCAACATGGTTGACATATATTCAAATGCATTTCTTTTTTTGTTGTTGTTGTTGTTTATTTATTTTTATGTGGTGCTGAGGATCGAACCCAGTGTTTTACCATGTGCAAGGCAAGCGTTCTACTGCTGAGCCCCAGCCCCAGCACCCATAATTAAGCATTTCAAGCTTTCTTTTTAAAGTGTTGCCTTTATACTACCAGAAGTTGAGCCCTGTAAAGTCTGCCTTTCAAAAATTAATAAAAGTACAAAGGATAGATAGGCCTAGACAGCAGGTAGGAATCAAAACCCATATTTGTATTCAGCAATGTTTACATAGGCCACCTATATACTGGGCAATTTATGCCACCAAAAAGAATAGCAGTCATGGTCAGTGAACTGAAAACTGAGAGCTGACAGTTATCTGGACTTCTCCTATAACAAAGCCATTGACTTCTCTGTCCAAGCCCAAGGACTGTGTATTCCCAAACAGCAAATAGCTTTCAGTATTATCACCCGTGAAAGCCTACAGCATGTTACATGCCAGAAAATAACCCAAAGAAATCACAGCTAAATCCAAAGAAGAAATTGTTGCTTTTTAGTTATATATTTGCTTATCCACCATACATGTAGGCAGCCCATCTAGGTTGAATTTAGCTTTAAAAATGGAACAGTCATTGCCACCTGAAAAGAAAACATCTTTTACCCTGCTTGAAATTAGCTCACATACTATGTACCAAACTGAAAAACTTTGAGGTCAACTTCAGTATGATTTGTCCTTCTTTTGCAAACACCAAGACCAGTGTTCAGAGCTGATGAGAAAGGGAACGAGAGGTTAAAGAAAACATGTCTTACTAACCTTTCTCCCCTTTAACCTCCTAGTAGCCAACTTATTCTCTGGCCAGCACTGACTAGATCTAAAAATATACCTAAATCTTTTATCTTGAAAGAATGTTGAGAACAGAGAAAAGGCATTTCCTTAATGTGTACTCACCTTTTTCTGTAGGCATTTGTCTAGCTCAACGATAGATCAATTGGCTTGGTAGTTGGGTCTGCCTTGGTCAGGAGACCTTTCATTCATTTACTTATCCATTCACTTATTAAATATTTTGGAGTGCCTGATCACTCTCTCTGAGACTTAAAACTAAGCAGCAGTATCAAAGAGATGAAGAAGACACAAGTCTTGCACTTAAGGATCGGTGACCAACCTCAGCATCCCTTGGCCCACATATTAAGTGAAGTCAGACCTCCAGGAAGTAAAAAGGAGGTTCCAATCTCTCTGTCCTTCTTGACAAAGTCTTCTGTACCATATACAACTAAAGAAAACTCAGCAAAAAGAAAAAACAACCTGAAGAATAACCAATCCACTGTTAAATTCAGTTCTGACTTTAAAAGCAATGTCTCACTTTGTGTCTTTCTCTATTGTGTGTGTATAGCAAAATCTTATCACTATTTGTCACTTTTATCTCCTTTTCTACTACTCCATTTATGACACCTGTCACTCACAGAAGGAACCACAATTTAGACAATGAATATATATCTGGTAAGTTTTGTAAAAGATAATTTTTTTTGTAAATTGAATCTTATTTAACAGAAGTGTGAGGTGGGATCTTTTGTTCCTATCCCCCTTTACTCCTAAAATCCCAAATTCCTCCATTTGTTAAACATGGATTACTATCTACCATAAAACCTCAGTTGAACCTGTCAAGTCATGGGCTATTCTGATTTTTTTTCCCAAAGAAGATTGCAGACACACCGACAGACCATCAGAGTTGGAGATGACAGAGAAAAGGTTAGAAAACTGAAAAGTATATATGAAGTCAGTCTAATGTTATTAGAAATTTCATATGAACTTATTTTCTTACAACTTGGTTCTTTTTCCTAGGAGCTTTACAACTTGGTTCTTTTTCCTAGGAGCTGAACACAGTAAATCTAGTTTTAGTTATCACGATTTTATTGAGTGACTTACCCTCATCGCTGGTCTCCACAATTTCTGTACAGCTAGGAACATCAGTTAGTGACTCAGCCATACTAGGATCACTAAAAGAAAATACAGAGCAAGAGAAAGATAATTGTTTGATATCCAGGATCTGCAGTTGTTTCACCCTACTCCTTATGCTTCAGTTAGATCCTGAAACTATTCAAAAAATGTTCAAGTAGAATCACCATTAGGGAGAATTGGACTCTTAAAAAGACAATGATTCTGTTAATATGAAATGTCCAGAATTGACAAATGCATAGACATAGGAAATATCTTATTTAGGGCTAGGGTGATGGGGCTTTTGGGGGTGACAGATTAAAAATCCCTATGATTTTACTGGCCATTGTAATAAACATGGCAGCATCCCTACTTCCTGTCACTAAGGAAGACTTTTTAGATGTTGGGAAAATAAACTATCTCTGAGTTTTATGGAAGCCCATAGAAAAGGAGCCTGTACACTAGAGCAGATTATGCTTAGTGAAGCTAGCCAATCCCTAAAAAACAAATACCAAATGTCTTCTTTGATATAATGAGAGCAACTAAGAACAAAGCAGGGAGGAAGAGCAGGAAGAAAAGATTAACATTAAACAGATACATGAGGTGGGAGGGAAAGGGAGAGAAAAGGGAAATTGCATGGTAATGGAGGGAGATCCTCATTGTTATACAAAATTACATATAAGAGGTTGTGAGGGGAATGGGAAAATAAATAAGGAGAGAAATGAATTACAGTAGATGGGGTAGAGAGAGAAGATGGGAGGGGAGGGGAGGGGAGATAGTAGAGGATAGGAAAGGTAGCAGAATACAACAGTTACTAATAGGGCATTATGTAAAAATGTAGATGTGTAACCGACGTGATTCTGCAATCTGTATTTGGGGTAAAATTGGGAGTTCAAAACCCACCTGAATCAAATGTATGAAATATGATATGTCAAGAGCTTTGTAATGTTTTGAACAACCAATAAAAAAAATAAAAAAATAAAAATAAAATAAAATAACAGAAAACTCCAAAAAAAAAAAAGAAAAGGAGCCTGTAACCCAAAACACCAGGTCATACTAGGCTGACATTGCTCTTAACCCACCACGTTTGGTGTTAGAAGAAAAGAAAATAACCATTAAAGAGAAAACTCTGGAAGACAAAAGGCAAAACAAAGAGGGCACTGTGACAGCATCCAAACCCCTAGAGCATTAAGAGAACCATTCAATCTAACCCTAGAGTTTAGATGGTCTGAAATTCTTTCTGGCATGCTTGCCTTATTTCCCCAACCAAATCCTAAAGGCCCTAAGGATAACACCACCATCATCCCCTCAGCTGGGACATGTGGAACTGTCTCTCCCCCAACAAAACACACCAACCTCCCTGTGATTTCAATCTCTCTTCCTATTACCACAACAGCTGTCTGCTTCTTTTTAAAGCAAAACTCAACAAAAGAGTTATCCATACTCACTGTATTAGGTCCTTACTTTCTATGCTCTTGATAACTCTCCATCCAACCAGGCTTCCAAAGCCAACTGCTTCCAAAATCCATCACTAAAACTGCTCTTATTAAATTCAGCAGTTGCCTCACCTTCTGGGAGCTTCTGACTTTTCTTTTGGGCACTCCTCCTTTTTTGAATAATTTTTTCACTTGCCTTTTGGAACATCACACTCCCCCAATTTTCTGCTTACCTTATTGGTTGTTCCTTCTCAGTCTCCTTTTCTGAATCTTGAGTCTCTCCCTGACTTTGAAATGTTTTATCATCAAGGCTCTGTCCTTGGCCTTCTCTGTCATTTACAATCATTTCCTAGACCAGTCACATTAAACAACAATGTCAACATTAGCATAATTACAAGCCATATATGTAATTTTAAATTTTCTAGTGACCACATTTTTAAAAGTAATGTTAATAATAATCAGGTGGGATCACATTTAATAATATATTTTATTTAGCCCAATATAACCAAAATGTTATTTCTACATTAATGATGTATTTTAAATCCTTCTTTTCATACTAAGCTACCACATCATTTGCATGAACCCCTTACTCAAACTCGTCCTCTCCCAGTCAGTGACTTGTCATTAAGCTCAGAGTAAAATCCCAGCCTCTTACCATGGGTCTTATGTGATCTGGCTCTATGTCCATTTCCCCACTGACCCACCAAGCATGCTACTCTCCTACCTTGTCCCTGGGCTCCAATATACCAAGACTCTTTCAATCTCAGGATCTATTTTTTTAATTTGTTCTTTGAGTTATAAATCTCAAGATCTTTACATTAGCTGCTCCCTTGCCTGGAGGGCTCTTTCCCAAGACAGTTGTATGTAGCATTCACACATTCAGTATTACTCCCCTTGGTGAGCACTTCCATCATCATCCTTGTTAGAGCACCCCCATTTCTCCATCCCATTGTCCTTTATCAATATCTTCACAGCACTTCTCTCTACCTGAAATTATATCCCATATTTTTTAAATATTTATTTTTTAGTTTTAGGTGGATACAATATCTTTATTTTATTTTTATATGGTGCTGAGGATCGAACCCAGTGCCTCACACATGCTAGGTGAGCATTCTACCACTTGAACCACAACCCCAGCCTAATTATATCCCGTATTAATAACTTATTTGCTAGTTTCTCATCTGTTTATGTTACTAGAATATACACACCATGAAGTCAGGAGTTTTGTCTATTCCATTCACCACTGATTCTTCCATCACCTAGAATGGAAGTCACAGGATTTACTGGAGGATTTGACATACAATGTGAAGGGAATAGCAGACTCTATAAATATTTGTTGGATGAGTGCGTAAATTCAATAAAAGAAAGGGAAATAATCTAAGAGCTGCTTCTGTAGTCAGCAATAGAAATAGAGGCATGCTAGTGGAGACAGAGAAGGACTCATTCTGGTGGAGAAACTCCCTTGTTCTCAATTTAGCAGGACCTGCCCTCTTCTCCAGCTAGGTGGGCCTCACCCCTCCCTGGGTGATTTGCCTGTGCAGAACATTCTTGGATCCTTCTTATCCTTGATGTGTAGAGAATATTCCCAGGAGTCCCAGCCATATGAACCCTGGATGTGGATCTTCATTCAGTTGGACTAGGCCAGGACACTCACAGAAGAGAAAGGGGTTTCTCTTCCTATTTAACAGCCACCATCCCTGATAGAAGTTCTTTCTTTTTGTTCTCAGGCTGACCTTACTAAATAGAACCTTGCTTCCTGACATGGTTTGGAACTAGACAGTCCTCCAAAGTCATATTGCTTAAGGTTTGATCCCCAATACAGTAATGTCCAGCAGTAGAGTCTTTGGAAGGTGATTGTATCATTCGGGCTCTGATCTCATCGTAGACTGATCCATTGATGCATTCATAGCTCAGTGGGTTTGATGGAAAAGTGCTTTGTTATAAAAGCGAATTTTCTTTGCTTCCTATTCACCATGAACTCAGCAGCTTTCCTCTAGTACATGCTTCAACCATGATGTGCTACCTCAACACAGGCCTAAAAGTAACCAGACCAAATGACCACAGACTGAAACCTCTGAAACTGTGAGCCAAAATAAATCTTTCCTCCCTTAAGTTGATCTTTCTCCTGTATATTGTAACAGTAACACAAAGCTAACACACTTCCCAAGTACTTCCTCATAAAGGCCTGTATTTCTCTTATGAGTCTCATTGTGGCTAACATGAATTTAAAACAAAATTGCTCCTTAATTATACCAGTACTTATTAATTATGGCCTTGGGCCTGACTCATCTATATTTTTATTTATGATATCCAGCAAAAACTTTAGGCCCGCTATAATCTGGTGTTCCCTGAAGCCCTCCAGTCTCCCAGCAGCCCACCCTCTCTCACATTGTCATGGTCTGGTCACCCAAAAACAGAATCATCAGTCATTCGTAAACATAACACGTTCTTCTTTCTCTGTGGTCTGTACAGGCTGTCCACTTAGCCTGGAACACCATCCTTTTAATCCAACATCCTTGTAGTCATACACATTCTTTAAGACCCGGATCAAATGTTGCCACTTCTGCTCCAGGCTTTTTTTTTTTCCTTTCTTGTAGGTTCTTTTATTGTTGATACTATGCTTCTTGTCTTATGAGGGTTTTTTTTTCTTTTTTCTTTTTTTTTTGTGTGTAATCTTTTCGTTCTTTTTAGATATACATGACAGTAGAGTGTATTTTGACATATTATACATACCAGAGTATAACTTATCCTAATTAAGATCCTATTCTTGTGGTTGAATATGACATGGAGTTATACTGGTCATGTATTCACATATGAACATAGGAAGGTTATGTCTGATTCTCTACTGTCTTTCGAATTCCCATCCCCTCCGTTCCCTTCATTCCCCTTTGTCAATCCAATGAACTTCTACACTTCCCCTCCCTAGCCTCCCTTATTGTGTCAGGGAGAACATTCAGCTTTTGTTCTTTTGGGATTGGCTTATTTCACTTAGCATGATAGTCTCCAGTTCCATCCATTTACTGGCAAATGCCATAATTTCATTCTTCTTTAAGGCTGAGTAATATTCCATTGTGTATATATCCACATTTTCTCTATCCAGTCATCTGCTGAAGAGTACCTAGGTTGGTTCCATAGCTTAGCTATTGTAAATTGAACTGCTATAAACATGGATGTGGGTGTGTTACTGTAGACTGCTGATTTTAAGTCCTTCAGGTATAAACCAAGCAGTGGGATAGCTGGGTCGAATGATGGTTCAATTCCAAGTTTTCTGAGGAATCTCCATACTGCTTTCCAGATTGGTTGCACCAATTTGCAGTCCCACCAGCAATGTATGAGTTCCCCCTTTCCCCACATCCTTGACAACATTTATTATTACTCGTATTCTTGATAACTGTCATTCTGACTGGCTGCTCCAGGCTTTCCTCCTTTGCCCATACTTTTGCCATAACTGATGTCACCTTGAGGACAGGGACCACATTTTGCTTATCACCAGTACCTAGCATGATACTAATAAGCACATAGAAAGTGCTCATTGCATGTATTAGTGAAAGGACGATACAGGAGCAAGTAGGGAGGAGTATTAGTGTAGCAAATAGGAGGCAGGGAAAAAAGTGAT